TACTTTCCTACCCACTTGTTCATTTTTACTACCTAAATCAACGACTTAATGCTCAGAATATAATCTATTGAAATTATATAGCCAACACAAATTAGTATGCGTTGTTTTCTGACAGTAACGTAGTTTCTTCTGCTCGACACCTATAGTGTCAGCAGCAGCTGTCATCGCTTCTTGCCCAGACATTATTTAAATTTAAAAAAAAAAAGCCCTGATACGGTTTAATATTATTCGAATATATTTTCTTTATAAATATAGTAATGTATCTATCTGTATAAATTTGAATACTAGAGCAAAAGATTTTTCTTTTTTTATTACATCAAACTGCTATATGTCATTAAATATATTTCTATTATGAATATATATATATATATATATATATATATATATATATATATATATATATATATATATATATATATATATATATATATATATATATATATATATTGTAGAGCCCCAACAAATGTTCAGTCAGGAGCCTGCTCAGGCTTAATCCGCCAGTGGGGGGGGGGGAGGGGTTGCTATTAATGCACAGTCATCTCTCGTCAATTCTACGCCTCTACCCTGACCATTAACCACCCGGGGGTGTGGGGGAGGGAGAGGGGAGCGATGGGGCTGGCACATAACGATAACATCCAACAGAATAAAGCCATTCCCCCCCCCCCCTCGCCCCCTACTGGTCCTCCCGGATCAAAGTCACCTCTGCGTGATACATTTTTGTTCTCCACCTGTCGGTACTTTGCCTGACCTTTCAACCTTGACCTCTGAAATTGCGACGTCACGAAACAATGTGCGAACCCAGCAGGTTCCTGTAATAGACATGACACAACAGACACCCTCCTGTGCAGTCTGGCACTAACCTGACACTAACCTGACACTAACCGGACACTAACCTGATACTAACCTGATACTAGCCTGACACTAACCCGACACTAACCTGACACTACCCTGACACTACCCTGACACTAACCTGACACTAACCTGACACTTACCCGACACTAACAACTTGACACACTAACCTGACACACTAACCTGACACACTAACCCGACACTAACCTGATACTAACCTGACACTTACCCGACACTAACCCGACACTAACCAAACACTAACCTGACACTAACCTGACACTAACCTGACACTAACCCGACACTAACCTGACACTAACCCGACACTAACCTGACACTAACCTGACACTAACCTGACACTAACCCGACACTAACCTGACACTACCCTGACACTAACCTGACACTAACCTGACACTTACCAGACACTAACCAGACACTAACCTGACACTAACCTGATACTAACCTGATACCAGTGTTTCTTCCAGACTTTTTTCTCCGGGGGGGCACTTGAAATTTTCGGGGGGGGGGCGTTAGACTTTCTCCGCGGGGGGCGGACACTGTTAAAAGTATATATTATCTATATAAATTATATAAATTTCATTTCGTTCGGGGGGGCGGTAAAATTTTTTCGGGGGGGCTTTGCCCCCCCCCCCCCCCGAAGAGATGCCTGGAAGAAACTCTGCCTGATACTAACCTGACACTAACCCGACACTAACTTGACACTAGCCTGATACTAACCTGATACTAACCTGATACTAACCTGACACTAACCTGACACTAACCTGACACTAACCTACCCTAAACAACCCAGCTAAAATGCAATAGTGACAGTTAGCTCGGGGTAGCCTATATTTTGACCGTATCGTGAAAATGAAATAAATAATTAAATAAATAAATAAAATTCTAAATAAGTTTTGATTTGCTTAACAGCAATTATCTTTTCTTCGTGAGGACTGACCCTTTTGACAATAAAGTTAAGAAGTTTGTGTCATTAGTCCGTGTATTTTTTTTCGTTTGTTTGTTTGTTCTTTCTTAATTTTGTCATGATTTACAAAAAAATTCACATTCCGCAATGATAGTTTTTTTCTCTCAAAGATCAACCTATTATCATTAACTACCTTTATGTTCTATCATACTTTCTTTTTTACTGTATACACTTAAATTAACGTAAATGTCATTTTAGTCCTGGTGTTCGATTTATCCGGATGTAAATCTTGTCCGGGTATTCTTTTTGCCCGGTCATTACTCTTTGCTGCCCTACGTCATCAAACTTGTTTACCAACAATGTTTATAAACACAGTCATGTACTCAGTGCCTAATGTACTCTGAACCACAGTGCCACAGTACTAAGTGCACCAGTACTAGGACTACAGTACTTTATAACCAACGATGTTTTCAGATTTTACTTTCCAATTATTTGTTTTTTTTTGCTTACTGGACTACCACCCCAACCCTCCTCTCAACCTTACAAGCCCCTTCATTCTATCACATCTTACCCGACCACTGCCCCCCCCCCCTCTCACCCATATTACACACACACATGAAATAGAGTCTGACATTTCACCGAACCCAAACGATTTTACCTGTCCGGTCCTCATGACATGCCCACAACAGGACAGCAAGCAGACCACAATCGGACCACAATCAGAATACAACCGGATAACAAGCAGACCACAACCGGACCACATCCGGACAACAACCTGACCACAACCAGACCACAAGTAGACCACAACTGGACCAAGTCAAGGCCACAACCGGACCAGGACACGACTTGAGTGGACCACAACAGGACCAGGACATAACCACAACCGGACACTTAACCGGACACACAACCTCCACATCAACCATGTAAGACTCCCGAGTACCAAACGCCGCCAATACAAAAATCCCCCCCCCCCCCCAGACAAAGGCTCAGACAAAAACCCCATAAACAAACCCCACCATCTGGCCTGCCGATCCCTAATGTAAACAATCATGGCTGGCGAACGAAACACATCAAGTTAGTTGCATTTAAATAAACGTTTTTTTTTTCTTACTTTACTGCATGAACTGAGCACATTCAAGTAAATTGTTTTTGTAAACGAGGTTTACGTAACGTCAAGACGCCATTGCATGACTGGCTTGCCTTTGTACAGAGGCGGAGCGGGTAGGGGAATAGGGGAGTATACTCTATTAGGAATAACTTGGAGAATTGGTAAGGGATACTGTAGACAGTTGCTTTAATTAATCCAACCAATCAAGATGGGACGGCGTGGTCTAGCGGTAGAGCTAGACTGCTAACCCATAAGTCTCGAGTACGAATCGGTAGAACGTCCCTGTCTCCACCCAGCTCTGATGGGTACCTAACTCACGTTAGGGAAAGCAAAAGTAGCTGGGCATTATGTGTTTTAAGGGTATTTTAGAACTTAATGAAATTAAGTTTTAACGATCCTGATTCATCATCTTTTCCCTCATCATAGCTTGGGGGGGGGGGGGGGAGGAACTTAATGACGTCATACAGACTGACACGTCCAACAACAATATAACGTAATATGCGTACGGACCCTTTTAGGGGGATAGTGCTCACATCACATTGTTTCATATTTTACAAGACCTCACGAAGAGTTTTGCTTTCAGTGATGTTGTTTTAAGATTTTCTCGCAATCCTGATTGACTTTTAAACATTAGTTGATTGGGGTCTGGCGTTAGGTAGTATCTGGTCATGTGGAAGGGCTTATACCCCCCTCCCCCAACACCATCTAACAACGCTTCTCGCTGGTGTGATGGTGTTGCAAAACAACCCCCACCCCTCACGGCCTATAGAGAACGCACGTACTTACGTACAGATGAACTTTGCCTACCAAGCACAGCGGTATTCTTAAAGATCAGACAAGGTTTGTTGAGTGCATTTAAACAAAAAAAAATGTAATTGTTCTAAAAATATTCTCAATACTTTGAAGAAAATATTGATTCGTATTTTATTATATTGTTAAGATTTCGAGATGTATTAGTTGTTTTAGATTAAAATTAGATTAAATTGCCAAACAAACAAACAAATTCTAGACATGTTACTTACACTTATCAACAGAATGAAAAAAGAGGGTTGCTAATCTCTGCTTAACGTTGGTTCGTTAACCTAATTTAAATTAATCCATTCAGAGGTGGGGGAGCAGTGTTTCTTCCAGACTTTTTTGTCCGGGGGGGGGGGGGGCATTTCAAGAGATGCCTGGAAGAAACTCTGAGGGGGAGGGAACTGTGTGTATATATTAAGCAGTAAGTGCGAGTATAAGAAAAAAAATTGTCACTAGAAGAAATTAAAGGGAAACAATTAGACTTTGTTTTTATAAAGTTAGCTCAAAAGGGAAACAACAAGATATTATAATTTTTAGTTAAAAAATTCATGAGTTACCTCCAATTTAGTTTTTTATTAAATTAAAAAGAATCTATATATATAATTCTCTTCTTGAAGACGATAGAAAACAAGCTGTAAGCGCGCTCCCTACCACCCCCACCCCTACATGGTCTGGTGAGCTGTAGTTCACGCTAAATGTTTACAATCGTAGAGCCGGGTTTAGTGACGGCTATTAGGGGCAGATAATTTAGTTTGAAACGATTTTAAACTTAGGTTGGGTGCAGCTAACTCTGTGAGACACACCCCCCCCCCCTACACACACACTTAAATTTATATGATATACTAAAACTACAACAGGCTGATAAATCCCCATGTCAAGTGGGCCAAGATGTAATTAAAGATATAGATGTAATAATAAAATGTAATAAAACATTCGTACCCAATTTTTCGCTAAATGGACAAAGTAAATTCACCGGCTAAAGAATGCTGTTTTTTTTTTTGGTGCCACCCTCTAATGCTCAAATGGCGACATTTGATGCGGTCCACCCCCCCCCCCCCCTTTTTTTTTCTCACTTATAAACTTGCTTCTACCAACATCAGAATAACTAGTTTCTTTCAGACATTCAGACAAATAACAGGAGTGGGGGGGGGGGGGGCAGAAAATACATAATTTAACTTATGTCCGCCTACCCATCCCCTCCCCCCCCCCCCCCATCCTTCGAAGTTTCAAGTACCCCAGCCACACCCAAGAAAAATGTGTGAAAGAAACCCTTGCCTCTCCACACCACATTACAAAGTCCTGACGAAACACAATATGTGGTGTTTTAGTTGATTGTTTAATCCTATTTAATCCCATTTAGTCAACGATAATCTCCTCTATGTCGTCATCTGGTGGACGGTCGTCGGTTGTCTCCTCTGTGCCTTGCTTGTCTTCAGAGTTGTCTTTCGTTTCGTTATCATCTTTAAACGGAAGTTTGTGAGTTTTGTAAAATTTTGTCCACCATTCTTCTGGGACTGTTGAAGAAATAAAATAAAAAGTAAATTTATTTTACCTAAATAAAATACGTTGTTATCGATGATGGGTAGTCACTTAATAACTGCTTGATAATTCTTTCTTTGCGCATTTTAACAATTAAATTTAACGATAATCCTTTTAAACATTTTTTTAACATTTTTAATTTGTTAATGCTATTGCACATTACGACATTAGACATTAAGTTAACTATCTTATTTTAATATTTTTATTTATAAACATTTTCCCTATAACGAGGGGAATGACTAGATATTTTAAAAAAATATGTTATGGGGATTTATGTCCCTCCCGAAATTAAGACATAGCTATAGCTTTCAATTATACGTACATAATATTAATAATATTGCGAACAAAATATTATTATTAAGATGCCGTGAACAATTAAAAATCTGCTAACGTTTTAAAAAACTTTTTTTTCCAAATAAATAGTAGGCGAGTGGGGGGGGGGGGGGGAGGGAGGTAGACACACCCCTAGATCCACACAAGCATACTTTTTAAATTTTGTTGCTTAGAATTACCCTAATTATTAGTATAATACCTTAATGTATAAACACCAATATTAATAATTGAGCTCGCAGACGAAGGCACTAGCTAAATGAAAACAAAACGGCGGTGTAAGAGAATAAATCGCTCTCACTGTCTCTCTCGTCCCAAAACATTGGGAAGTTGGACTCAGTGATGTAAACAGTGTACGCGCTGGCCAGGTACTCGGCGTGCTGCTCAAACTCCTGATACGTCTCGAGTTCCAGAGGATATTTCTGCTCTCGCACGTGCGCTCGGTACCTGCTCCACCAGCCCCGTGGCACTGTGGAAGGAAATGTGTTGGTGGAGACATGCTCGCGTGGTGTGTGACACAGTACTCACTACCACAACAACGGTAAGTAACAAAACTAGCACTGTGGCCACAGTCATAAAACCCACCACCACAACAATGTTAAGTCCCCAACCAGAAAACCTGTACAACCGCACAATCACACAAACTACCACTATGCAACATACCACCACTATAAAACAACCTACCACCAAAACCAGACAACCTACCACCAACATTCCTCAATGTGCCACCGCAACCACACAACCTACCACAACCACACAACCTACTTCCTAAAAACACAACCTTACTACCATACGAGTCAATCTACCATCCAAACCACACAACATACACCCTTCCACCACATCCACACAACTTCCACAGACACACAACCTATCACCACAACCTACCACAGACACACAACCTATCACAGTCACACAACCTACTACAACCACACAACCTACCACAACCACACAACCTACCACAGACACACAACCTACCACAACCTATCACAACCACACAACCTACTACAACCACACAACCTACCACAACCACACAGCCTACCACAACCACACAACCTACCACAACCTACCACAACCACACAACCTACCACAACCACACAACCTACTACAACCACACAACCTACTACAACCACACAACCTACCATAGCCACACATCCTACCACAACCACACAACCTACTACAACCACACAACCTACCACAGCCACACATCCTACCACAGCCACACAACCTACCACAACCACACAACCTTCCACAACCACACTACCTACCATAGCCACACAACCTACCACAGCCACACAACCTTCCACATCCACACAACCTACCACAACCACACAACCAACATCAACCACACACCCTACATCAACCACACACCTACCATCACGACCGTGCCCTAGGGTCTTAAAATTGCCGTTGTTGACGTAAATACCCTCGTAATCCCTCAGACAGTCGACGAAATTCTCAAAGAAGTAATACTTGGGCAGCTCCTTACGTGACGCGTAGATCTTCCTCCACCATATTGCCTGACCTGACAGAGAAACTGACACTCAGCACTATTTCTACCCGTGCCCACCTCAACAGCTGACGGACTGACATTTGGCGAGTAAATGGTAAAGGGTGACAATCCCCGATAGTTTAATTCAAGGGAATTAACTTTAGTACCTTAATTAATTAGTGTATTTCTATATTAAAAAAAATTGTGGGAGGGGTTATTTATGAGAAATTAAATTTTGGGTGTGGTGAGGGAAATTGCTGCAATGTGGGTGTGTGTGTGTGGGTGTGTGTGGGGTGGGGGAGGCGGGACTGGAGTCCAAGGATTAGAAAAGAAAGGACTATTGTTGAACATGTAGATGATGTAAATTGAAAGTACTGCAATTTGGGAGTCAAAAGAAGTTGGATATGGAATGGAGTAAGAAAAAAAAGCAAAAGATAGCGAAGGAGGAACAGGGTAAATAGACGAGGGGGGTGGGGGGGGGGGGCGGGGGGCTGACAATTGGAAGCGGTTGAGCTGATACACTCGTTGATGTGATATGAGTAATGTTAAAAAAACATGAACTCACCAATCTGAAGCTTATTCTTCTAATTTATGGCAGGCACATATATTGTTACCTACCGCACATTAGATAAGAACTTACAGGGATCGTACCATTCGTCGTCCTCGGTATTCCTGGTAGGGGAAGTAGGAAATAATTAGGTGGACACTTTAGATATATATTCAGATATTACATACAAGACAACAATTTGAATCAAACTTTACAAATCTCTCTCTCTATATATATAGTGTGTGTGTGTGCCTGCGTGCGTGCGTTTGCGTGTGTGGTTTTTTTTTTACTTTTTAATTATTTTTTTTAATCTATATTTTTTTTGTCTTTTCTTACTTTTTCGATTTCTTCTTTGCCTCCGTCACCAAGACTGTGTGAACTAAATCAAGAGAAGACAACTCAGATTTTAATTCTGTAGTAAAACAATCTATATATATATATATATATATATAATTCTCTTCTGGGAGACGCTAGAAAACAAGCTCCCTACCACCCCCATCCCTACATGGTCTGGTGAGCTGTGGTTCACGCTGTTCACAAGCAGAGCCGGGTTTATTGACGACTATTAGGGGCAGATAATTTAGTTTGAAACGATTTTATACGTGGGGGGGGGGGGGGCGGGGGGAGACATATGTCCCCGGGCGCCAACCATAGGGGGGCGCCAAATTGAAAGTTTGAGGGAGGGGGGGGGGGTGCAAATGAAAAGTTCGAGGTGCAAATCGAAAGTTTGAGGGGGGGGGGTGCAAACCAAAAGTTCGAGGGTGGGGTGCAAATCGAAAGTTTGAGGGGGGGGGTGCAAACCAAAAGTTCGAGGGTGGGGTGCAAATCGAAAGTTTGTCCCCGGGCGAAGCGTCGCTACGCCTCTGGGGGGGAGGGGGGTAACTAAGTGGAGTTTACTTTAAATGAGAGGGGGATTATCGTCCTTAACGAGCTACTTATAGTGTTTTAAAGAAATATTTTCAGTGGCAGCGTTGGTACTGTCGAATTCACAAATTATGAATTACTGAAAAGTAGAAAAAAAACAACAACTAAATAGCGGCGTATGATATGCCGCGGGTCGGCTCGTTCTATTAAATTAAATTCTACAGTAACCACGCAATAGTAAATACTAGCCGTCCCGGCCAGGCCCTGCTCTGGCTTCTGTGAAAAACCTTTCTGTTAAAGACCATTACCTGTGTGTTTAGTAATCATCATAAACCCGGCATTGCCCACCCAAACCACAACCAACCAAAACCAAAACAAAAAAAACGCAAACATAACGCTAACACAATTACAAATACAAACGAAAACAAAAACCTAACAACAAACCCAACCACAACCACAAACACCAATACGAACACAAAGAAAAAAAAAACGAAAAAGCAAACGAAAACAAACCAAATCAAAACGCAAAACCAACCACAAACACAAACCCAAAGAAAAAAACACAAACGAAAAAGCAAACGAAAATAAACCAAATCCAAACGCAAAACCAACTACAAACACAAATACAAATACAAACACAAACCCAAAGAAAAAAACACAAACGAAAACGAAAAAAGAAAGAACAAAAACGAACCAAATCAAAACGCCACCACTAACGCAAAACCAACCTAAACACAAAGAAAACACAAACGCGAACATAAACGCAAAGTGCTCACATTCTAGCCCTGGGCAGAATCGCCTGTTTCAGCTTAAAAAACGACTATAGTACCCCAACTTATTCAGTCTTTTGCACTCACTTAAACGAACGTAGGTGCCAAACCATACCAAATGAACAATTATAATACTCCAAGCTTATCCGTAAAATACCTACAACATTTGCACTTGATCAATCCCCGCTAATTATGTAATTATTTTTTCCCAACACCAAAACAAAGTAATAAAAAGTAAATTCTTTTCCACTAATGCAATGTTTTATAAAGGGAAGTAATTGTGTTTTCCTAATTTATCAAAGGGAAGTAAGTGCTAAAGGACTAAATATAAATAATTTTCAGACAGAATTAGAGTTTTTGTAAAATCTTTTTAAAATTGTTTTTAATGAACATGCCGACACTTATTACTGTCAGTTTGAAAAATGAAAATTATTTCCCAACACTTTCAATAGTAATTTTTTAACCGGGTGCGTGTGCGTGTGTCACCATCAAAGCTAAGTCTAAGCACGCATTAGCCCAGCTCTTTGAATGGTTGTGGGAATGTGCTGACATCACCGGCTTACAGTGACTATCGTTTTCTTACATTATAACTTATATTCTTCTTCTTTTGCCCGTTTGTGCCCAAGACACATGGGACAGCTGAAATAGAGTTCATCTGTTTCAATTGACCTCGGCATATATGAAGGGATAAGGTGGTCAGCACTATGCCCAGCCGCCTTAATTTTCCTTAACATGAGTTAGGTATCCATCAGAACTGAGTTGACTCAGGGACTTTCTACTCGAACTCGAGACTTTCGGGTAAGCTCTACAGTGATAGGCAAAGCGTCTCATATATATATATATATATATATATATATATATATATATATATATATATATATATATATATATATATATATATATATATATATATATTACTATACATTAACTATTACAAGAATAATGCTTTTAATTTGGTATTAATAAAAATATTACTAGTTATTTTCTCTAAACTGATTCCGAAGTAATACTATTTAAAATCTGAGATTTTCTGTTCTATTAATCCGTGCGGTTGGTTATGCAATGGAGGGGGTGATTGGAAATTTAAGTAAAAAACTTACTTGCTAACAACAGATAAACTGAAATAAAGTATAGTCTGCACATGTTCGAAGTTTGGACGAAATTACTTGTATCACACAACACGTGTGTTTTTGACAGAAATGTCTCGGCTTATCTTATCTACGTTGTGGCCTAAAGAAAATGAAAGGTGTGTTCTTATCATTTTAGACTGCTGGAAGGCAGTACTCATAGTTTTAAACTGCTGAATATCTTTGACACAAATACACGTGTATTCAAGAATAAACTAGACTACTTAGACTAGCCTCTAGACCAGCCCAGACTAGACAAAAGATAGGGTGCGGTGGAATTTTTAAGAAGTTATCCTTTTATAGTCCTTCGTTTACCATTATGTTTTGAGGTACGCAAGATCATTAAAAAGAAACAAGCTTTATTTTAAAAAAAAAACACTTGAAATTTTTATAATTCTATTTTAAAATATAACATTAATCTCAAATGTGCATGTGACGGTGTACGTGAAATATGTAATAGTAAAGTAATATGTAAAGTATGTAATTAAAAAAAACATTCATCTTTAGACCTTACGATCCAGTGGGCAGATGAAGTGGAGTTCATGTTTCTTGACCTCGGCATATAAAGGGATAATATTAATGTCCCTAATGTGGTCAGCACTATGCCCAGCCGCCTTTACTTTCCCTAACGTGAGTTAGGCACCCATCAGAGTTGGGTGGACTCAGGGACGTTCCACTAACTTGAACCCGGATTCTAACTCGAAACTATCGAGTTAGCAGTCTAGGCCATGCCGTCCCATAAAGTATGTAGATCTAGATCTAATACATAAGCTTAAATTATTTGACATCCCAGAGCCCAAGTTAATAGTCACTGGAAGAATTAAGGGCCACTGTCTATCAAAAATGAGGACTGCTTTTTTAACAGTGGTTTCATATATAGTGTATATGTAATTATTTCCATGTTTTTGTGATCAGCAAGATAACAAAAGAAAAAAAAAACAATTATATATGTAAGTGCATTTATTATTAATATAACTGGCATTACACAACAATGACAATTTAGAGCTGCCACATAGTACCACAACTGCAACATAACTCATTCAACAATTCTCTTTGCTGTCCCTCTAATTAATGACGTGGTACTAATCAATCCAGTAGTATTTAACTGTTCTCTAATTAATCCAGTAGTATTTAACTGTCCATCTAATTAATGCTAAGGTACCAAGTTATTCCTAACTGTCCCTCTAATTAGTGATGTGGTACTAATCAATCCAGTAGTATTTAACTGTCTCTCTGATTAATGCTAAGGTATTAAATATTTCCTAACGACTGTTCATTTAATACCACAACAGTCAATCATCTTAACCAATCTATTTAACTACAGCCCATCTTATTAGTTTATTTCAATAGTACTTTTGAGGAAAATTTAACTGATGTAGAAAAAAACAACTAATTTTTCAGTTAGTTGTAAAGTTTAAAGAAGAAAATATAATAACAATGTCAAAAATAACACAAGAACCTGTGTATTTAAAGAAGCAAAGAGCAATCATACAGTTTTCAAGAAATAAAAAAAAAAATTAGTTTTAACTTTACACAGAACAGCATTAACTTTTAACCAATGAATTCTGCACTAGAGAAATAAATTGCAAACTTCTATTAGAGCCCCAAAGTTAAACTTTTGACAGCCAAATGTATTGGAATAAAATAGGCATTACTAACTTTAAATAACTAATATCTATTACCGTCAGGCTTTTTTTGAGTCTGTTGTCAATATGTTAATTAAAAATGGAGCCCCTTAATTAAAATTATTACCCAGCTTAATTTACAGTCAACTTGCTATATGATGTATTGGTATTTACTATGTTGTCAATTTTTCCATAGTCAGAATGTTAATTATCTGTTTTTTATTTTAAAATAATTTTCAGTCACAGAGATTACGAAATATTTATTTTTATTTTGATTCAGGAATGATTGTTACTGAAGAGTGATTTTGTATAACAAAATTTTGTTCATAAAACATTTACGTTATAAACCTTAGAACATTACATGTACACTTGTCTCATCTAGGCCATTTCAGATTAATCTAAAACTTGTTAAAGCTATCTTTGGTTCCTGACTTCTTTATAAATTGTTTAAGTTGTCATTATATCAATAGCACGAAAAAAATATATACATAAAACATAATACAATTAGTGACATTTTTTAAATTAAGTATTGACTCAGCTTAGTATATCTTAAAACTATTTTAACCAATTACAAACTGTTGTTTTTGTCATATTTTTAAAAATCCATTTCTGCTTATGCCATTTAATATTACTTACCAACATCAACACTGCCCTAACCCCAAATATACTGGTCCTAAGACTGTCTAAAAAACAACTTTACTACAAAAATTTCAATACTACCAACAACCCCAGAACTGCAGGGCACTATATCTAACACTAGTAGATTAGAGCACCCTTTAATCTGTATGTGTAGAACAAAACAAAAAAGTTGTGCACTACTAAGTTACATCAAATAATGTTACAATACCAAAGATCAAACAACCAAATGTTGACATACTTTGACCAAACACTACTGTCCAAACTGACAGACTTTAGTGATAGTCCATGCAGTCTAAAACAAGAGATAGTCCACACAGTCTAAAACAAGTGATAGTCCACACAGTCTAAAACAAGTGATAGTCCACACAGTCTAAAACAAGTGATAGTCCACGCAGTCTAAAACAAGTGATAGTCCACGCAGTCTAAAACCAAGTGATAGTCTAAAACAAGTCAACTACTTCAGTGCTGGACATTACAATACACAGAGTAACAAAAAGCACTTCGGGCTCTGGAATGTTGCTGTTAAGGCAGTTCTCTGGATTAATATTTATACAGACGAGTTTACATAATATAAGATATTTACAATATATGAAAATGTGACCTGGTTTCATACAAGACTAGTTCAATTCATAATGGATGAAAATAGTAACCATGGGTGACAATGAAAACATTCATAACGGCTGACAATCAAAATAATTCACTTATCTTTGGACACAATCAAAACTTTCAAAGTTGACAGTGAAAATATGAAGATGGTTCACAACAAACTCAAATAGCCCAGAGTCTTACAATGCTATCACGTTCATGAATATAGAAAAAAAAGTTAAGGCACTTGTATATTTACATTATAAAAACATGTAAAAATTTTAAAGTTAAAAAAATTAACAGATAAAAATATGGTAGGGTATATAAATATATTTAAATATCCACATTTTATTTTTACGTTGTTACAAATGCATGGTCAACTAGCATCATGTGTGCATTTACCACCAGTTAGGAACTATTTAAAAACTAGACATTTACACCATCAAAATAACTACATTCAAAATGAAAGATTATTATATAAAAGTTAAGATATAAACTATAAATATTACAGTAACAGTTTCCTAAAGAAAAAGAGTCTTAATATACAATGAATTTAATATTTAAAAATTAGAAAAATAAACAAAGCTTTAATTTACAATAAAATAGGATCAGATCACTAATAAAAAACTGGACATTTAGTTTAATGTAAACTTTAGACCAGTTGCCTCCCTTCTCTATTTACACAGGAATATAGTTTAGACTAAGTTTACCAGTAGCTTATTCACAACACCAGTTTCATGGTCAATCACATCCATTCATTGGCTGCACTAAGAAACATTTTATAAAACAATTTATTCATTATAAAAACAAGAATCAACTTGCTGCATAGGAAATGATGCTCACGCATCAACTTAACACATCCATCAATCATTAAGTAGCTTCTATCATCCATTGTAGCGTGCATCCATCGTCTAATATTCATTCTTGTTTTGTAGTATTGGTCAACTAGTTTTCACAACATGTAGTATTTGCTGACTCAAATCACCTGGCACATTATCTTTCATCAACCCCTCATATATACTCACTCATTAGCACCCACCCCTCACAATTATATAATGTGCACCATCCACCCCTCATGTATAACCCCCCCCCCCCCCCCCCATATATAAATAAACTAAATGAGCCGCTCCTCAGGTGGTTTCTTCAACACATTTCCCAGCTCAACCCTCGATCCAGAAGTTTCCTGCTGGCTGGGACTGTAAGCACCCCTGGTGGCTCGCTTAGACCTGGCCGTCATGATGAAGGCTATCACCACAACTGGAAATTAAAAAGCATGTCGTAATGAAGGCTATCACCACAACTTTAAATTTAAAAACATTTGTTATGAGGAAGGATATGACCACAACTGGAAATTAAAAAACTTTTGTCATAATGAAGGCTATCACAATAATTAAAATTGCAGAAATAATGAAAAAAAATTTCATTGGCAGCTCTAACTGGTAGTTCAAAAGGTTATACTCCTGAAACATTTTTATTTTACAACAATGATCATATAAAATAACAGAATTTTAATAAAAAAAAAATTTATCTATAAATTCTTTCTTTGAAATAGAAAGAAATCTTGACCTCTAATGGCAAGCCAATATCACCAACATAAACTGATACTTACTAACTATAATGACGAACACGATGCCCCCAACATGAACTTATACTTACTAACTATAATGACGAACACGATGCCCCCAACATGAACTTATACTTACTAACTATAATGACGAACACGATGCCCCCAACATGAACTTATACTTACTAACTATAATGACGAACACGATGCCCCCAACATGAACTTATACTTACTAACTATAATGACGAACACGATGCCCCCAACATGAACTGATACTTACTAACTATAATGACGAACACGATGCCCCCAATAATAGGTCCAATGATGACCCCCAGATCTGTATCTTTGGCTGAACTTGGGCTCTGGACACAACAAAAAAAAAAATGCATTATAGTAGGCCTATATGTAACAGGAAGTACAGAGATTGGTTGAAAATGTATGGTGCTGCAAGTTTTGGTCATTAGACAAGTTGATGAAAAGCTTTCTATCATTGTCAACATTGAAAAAAAATTGTTTTGTCAACTTTGCCTTCATATTGTAATCAAATACAATAGAAAAAAACTTAAGCCTGTGACAGAGTGGTAGCCACAGTGATATGGTGATGGCCACTGTGACAGGGTGGTAGCTATCACCATGGTGGGATGTAGCCATCACTGTGACAGGGTGGTAGCCACAGTGACAGGGTGGTAGCCACAGTGACAGGGTGGTAGCCTTACCTTCTCACAAGTGACCCCCTGGAAGCTGCCGCTGCAGGCACAGACTGCCATGTTTGACTCGTTAATCGTGCAGGTGCCACCATTTAGGCAGGTGAAATTGAAGCAGGGATCCAGGCGCAGGCAGTCTGGCGCCAGGTACTCTTTATCACAGACACAGCTGAAGTTTCCTACTTCGTTGGTGCAGTTACCATGGTTACATATGGAGGCATTCAAGGCACATTCATCAATATCATCAGCGCAATTTGGACCAGCAAAACCTAAATTAATAATATAAAAACAGGGAATGTTAAAATAGTTAAAGTAGTTTTAATATAAGGGAAACAACAACATAAGCATTTCAAAAAAAAAAATTAACTCTAGACAGTCTGGGAAGAAAAATCTTTAAAGACGTATTTTTCAACCAGTATAAGTTTGTTATAGAAAATATCAAATACCCACGTAACTTTAAAAAAAAAACCTTATACAGTAAAATAGTTTTAGATTATTGGGTTTCAGTCAGAATAGCGTAATAATTTACATATAATAAATAAAAATAATCACAAAATCAGAAAGAAAAAAGAAAAAACACCCTGTCCTTTACTATTATTTCAATTAAAAAAAATTAAGAAACATGCTAAAAAATTACTTTCTTTTTTAATATTATATTAGTTACATTATTATTGAAAACGATTCAACAGCAGTTTTATTGCCTATAATTTCTTAAACAAAAATTGTGTAAATTAAAAAAAATTAATGGCTTGTGAATAATAGTTCAAATCTTATAATAATAATACTACATACAATGTTGTTATAACACAAATATATAAACTGTTTAACTAACAATGTTAATTGTAAAATAACCACTACATAAGCCAAAGCAAGGTTCCAACAATCCAAGTATAGAAATACAAATGCTACAGTTACCAACTCACCTGAATGACCACACTGGCAGGTGTAATTATTGACCCCATCAACGCAGATACCTCCATGCTGACAGGGGTTTGATTGGCACTCGTTAATGTCAACATCACACAACTTGCCCTCATAGCCTGGGGTACAGTTACAGTACGCACTCCCAGGTGTGTTGACACACTGGCCGTGTACACAATTTAACAAGCCGGCCGTACACTCATCAATGTCCTCTGTGCAGTTGTTGCCAGTCCAGCCTGAAAAAAAAGGCTAGTGGTCACTACAACGATACGCAAACAATTTAAATCAATCACAGCCCACTTTCAAGTTGTTCCCAGTTACGCTTTCAGTTTAGGGTCACATAATTTATAGACTTTTTTTAATCATCCATTTCCAATTACTGCAGTTACCTGGAGGGGAGTGGGTGAATTACTTCAACTATATTTTAGTTCCCACGCTTGATTTTATATGAATGTTGGGTTTTTAAGATACATTTATATTTACAGTTTTTAAATATTTTAATGTTCATAAATAATATTCATTGGATTAGGAAGGGGGTCGGCGTGGTCGAGTCGGTAAAGCTCATGGTTGCTAAACCAAAAAGTCTCGAGTTCGAACCCTCGGGCAGATGAGGCTCGTTAGCTGGGGACAGCCACTCTTCTAGGAGAGACAACTCCAAAATTAAACAACTGCTGCCTTGTAGTTTGTTCTTGGTTGGACAAAGGCTATGGAAGCAAATCCAAAAAGAAAAGCAGGCTGAAATCGGAGTCAATGGCCTCAATGGCGCATAACCAGTTGACACGTAACGCTTAATTGTGTTGGAGGCGTGGTCGAGTCGGCAAAAAGCTCATGGCTGATAAATTCGAACAAAGTTCAAACCCACTGGCAGATAAATCTCGATCCCCTTCAACACTAATAATTAAGAACGAAGAAGAAGAAGAAGATTGGATTAGGAAAAATACAAGTTTACAATATACCTTTCAGTAATGGAAAACTAAAACATAGTAGAACAAAAGTACAAATTTAATTAAAAAAATATTTCATCAAATGATATCAATTAATTAACCATTTGATGATGAAATAACAATAGTATTCTTTTAAAATATAACATGAGTTTAATTTAGTTAAAACGAAATACTGTGGTTATGAGCTTCTAATTTCATTAGGAATTTCTAGCAGCAGGGCAATATTTTTTCAACAGACAAAAAACATACCTGGTTTGCAGTGGCACTGGTAGGTGTTGTTCTGTATTTGCTGGGTGCAGTTGTAGGAGTTTGTCTGACTGCATGGCTGGTCGTAACATAGGCCTACACTCTCGCACTGCTCACCTGGTTAGGGTTGAGGAGGTTAGCGTTAAAATAGATGATAAACTACGAGTTAAATGGAGAGTTAATGAGCTTAGTGAGATTGGAGTTTAATGAACTGAGATTTAAGTCCTCAAACAGTTGTGATCCTGACTATTAAAAGCCTGACTATTATAAACTCGGCGTGGTCGAGTCGGTAAAGCTCATGGTTGCTAAACCGTAAAGTCTCGAGTTCGAACCCTCGGGCAGATGAGGCTCGTTAGCTGGGGACAGCCACTCTTCTAGGAGAGACAACTCCAAAATCAAACAACTGCTGCCTTGTAGTTTGTTCTTGGTTGGACAAAGGCTATGGAAGCAAATCCAAAAAGAAAAGCAGGCTGAAATCGGAGTCAATGGCCTCAATGGCGCATAACCAGTTGACACGTAATCCTTAATTGTGATGGAAGCATGGTCGAGTCGGCAAAGCTCATGGTTGATAAATTCGAAAACTGTCTCGAGTTCAAACCCTCTGACAGTTAAGGCTCGATTCCTCCCAACACTAAAAATTAAGAATGAAGAAGAAGAAGAAGATAAACCACTCATATGTCAAAGAGCCCCTGCTGATATCACAAACAAGATGTATTGAATGTATTGCTATTGCTGGTAAATGCACTAGCTAACACAGCCCTTAATGTCAAGAGGTTTTATTGTTTCTGTCAGAGTAACATTATTTGTTTCTATTTTTTGTGCACCCCACCAGTACAATGTTACAGTTTCATCATTCCTCTAAGCATAATACAAACTAAAATTTCAACCCAAAATAAAATCTTTCATTATTTTTATTTTTAAAAAAATACCAAGTCCTTTATCTCTTTGACATAAAATATCAGATAACTTTCCCTGTTTTAACTTTTACAATGTTGATTCCAGTCAGAATGATAATTGTCACATTACGTACAATTTTAAAACATTCGCAACTGAAACAAAGGTAATAGCTAAAAAATAGTTATCACAGTGTTGGTAAAAATGTTCAAACAAACCTTCAACAAACTTTGGGCAGTCACAACTCCACTCTGTAGCATTAGTTTTACACATGCCATTATTGTAACACTTTGTCAGGTTACAGTCTGGTATTTCACAGGTGTCACCTCTGTAACCCATGGTACAGGCACATGTAAACCCATACTCCGCATCTGTGCAGTTCCCCCCATGTTTACAGGCAGGTGTGCTGTTTGTACACTCATCCACCGCCACATCACAGCCAGGCCCTGGAACAGTGGTCAAACATGGATGAGGTCAACCCACACAATGGTACAACACTTGTACATTGGTACAGTTTGGATAACTGTACAGCAAACATTACATGGTACAAGATTTATGGATTGGTACAACACAACATAACATACTAGTACAAGAGATACAGAGTGTTAATCATAAAATATCATACATCAGTCCAAAAAAACAGATTCCTACAACATACAGTAGAGTTCCCTTTTCAAACCAGATGATCCATGGGGCAGGTGAAGTAGAGTTCACCTGTTTCTGTGACCTCTGCTCTGTATATTAAGGGATAATGTGGTCAGCACTTTCCCTTATGAGAATTAGGTGCTCCTCAGAGCTGTGTGGACTAAGGGACATTCTATGGACTTGAACCCAGAGATTCAGACTTGAGACTTTTGGGTTAGCGATGTAGCGCTCTACCATTACGCCAAACCACCCCATAACAACATTTATTAGCAAGGTTCAAGGGTCAGATGAAAACTACGTATGTACGTACCTGTGAACCCAGTACCCGTACAGTTGCAGCCACTGACAGAACACACCCCCCGCTGGCATGATGACTGGTTGACACATACGTCGTAGACAGAGCTGCAGGTCAGGCCCTCATAACCTATAGACAAAATGGTAACATTTATTATGGCACATATGTATATCAAATTATGTGAAGCTACACAGCATATATGGATATCAAATTATGTGAAAATATACAGCACATATAGATATCAAATTATGTGAAGCTGTAAAACAACTGCTCTGCTACTGTGAATCCTATAAGTAAAACAACAATTCCTTTTTAGACCTAACAATCCATTGGGCTGATGAAGTAGAGTTCATATGTTTCTTGACCCTGGCATATGAAGTGATGCCCAGCCACCTTTACTTCACCCAATGAAAGTCTGGTACCCATCAGAGCTGGGTGGACTCAGAGACTTTCTACAATCACAAGTCCCAACTGAGATCTGGGTAGTCAGTCAAACGCTCTGATACAGTAAATAAAATACAAAAATACGGCTAAATAGTTTAGTTAGACTATTGGATAATTGCAACTTACACTAAATTTACTTTGCAACATGGATACTAAACTCCTAGCCAGTAAGTATACAAATTCAGTGGGAACATTGTTTTCATATAACATTAGCTTTATGCAAGTTTTTTTTTTACATGTATAGTATACATGTCATAATTGTAAACGCTGTGTTAAATTCTGAATCTTGACCTAGATCTATATTTCATCTTAATCTAGCACCGTCAGACCTAGAGCAATCGTCTAATTAAAAAGCAATGTGCATATTTGACCTAAGTACTGCAATTCTCGATTTAAATACGAATATATGGAATGCGCAAGTCATCCATTTCCGTAGATGTCATTTTCGTTTTTTTTCCTAATTTTTAAAACTTCGGCAAAAATCGAAGATCGGCGGAAAAATTCGGCAAAAATGAAATCAGCGGAGGAAAATTGCAGCTGAAACGGAAAAATCGGATTTCCGCTAAAATTCGGAAAAGTCACATCCCTGGGCTCTCCCATTTGACTCTCCATGCGAAACCTATATATTTGTGTTTAAAACTAGAACCACCAAACCATTTTATAAACATCAGCCCAAAATCAATTTGGGTGGTTAATTTTTCTGGCATATGATATACAACAGGCTATAGCAAGGTCACCACATCCCTCTATCACAAAGTCACATGACAAACTCACCTCTATCACAAAGTCACATGACAATTTCAAATGACAATAGAACTTACCATTATTACAAACACAGGTGTAATTATCAAACAACAGTAGAACTTACCATTATTACAAACACAGGTGTAATTATCAAACAGTAGAAATTACCATTATTACAAACACAGGTGTAATTATCAAACAACAATAAAACTTACCATTATTACAAACACAGGTGTAATTATCAAACAGTAGAAATTACCATTATTACAAACACAGGTGTAATTATCAAACAACAATAAAACTTACCATTATTACAAACACAGGTGTAATTATCAAACAGTAGAAATTACCATTATTACAAACACAGGTGTGATTATCAAACAACAGTAGAACTTACCATTATTACAAACACAGGTGTAATTATCAAACAAAAGTAGAACTTACCATTATTACAAACACAGGTGTAATTATCAAACAAAAGTAGAACTTACCATTATTACAAACACAGGTGTAATTATCAAACCACAGTAGAACTTACCATTATTACAAACACAGGTGTAATTATTGCTGCCGTAAAAACATTGTCCATTAGAACAGGTGCCTTGTGGGCAGCTGGTGACCCTGTCAGTACAGTTGACCCCTGTATACCCTGGCGACAAGAATAAGTTTTTTTATAAATATTTATGTTAAACATTACAAGTCCTCCTTGAGCTTATGACAAGACAAAAACTAGACAAGGATAGAAATGTCCTCACACTGCACATGCGCACTTGAAGTGTGAGGAGACTTTTGAGTGGGTACATTAAAAAAAATTCTTATTTTACGTAGCGTACTTCTTTTGAACTTGATTTATTTTAAATTGCATTAGAATAATTAAGTTTTAAATAGAATATTCAAATAAAAATACACTACAAAAGTACAGTGAAAATTACAAGTAAGACATTAAGACAGTACCTTTAGAACTATTACAGGTAAGACACTAAGACAGTACCTTTAGAACTATTACAGGTAAGACATTAAGATAGTACCTTTAGAACTATTGAAGATAAGACATTAAGACAGTACCTTTAGAACTATTACAGGTAAGACACTAAGACAGTACCTTTAGAACTATTACAGGTAAGACATTAAGACAGTACCTTTAGAACTATTAAAGGTAAGACATTAAGACAGTACCTTTAGAACTATTAAAGGTAAGACATTAAGACAGTACCTTTAGAACTATTAAAGGTAAGACATTAAGACAGTACCTTTAGAACTATTAAAGGTAAGAAATTTTGACAGAACGTTAAGAACTATTACAGGTAAGACATTAAGACAGTATCTTTAGAACTAATACAGGTAAGACATTAAGACAGTGCCTTTAGAACTATTACAGGTAAGACATTTTGACAGTTACCTGTGGAACTATCACAGGTAAGACAATAAGACAATTACCTGTAGAATTATCACAGGTACAGATGTAACTGCCTGGCGTGTTTGTGCAGGTGCCATTGTTAGCACACATGTAGCCATCCTTGTGACAGTAGTCAATCAGCCTCTCACACAGTGGACCCTCATACCCTCTAGGACAGGTACAGGTGAAGTAGCCCTGAAACAGTTACATGAGAGATAGATTCTTGCTTTACTTCATAAAATCTGCATTTAATCTTTGTACAAAAAAAAAAACACAATGTATAGATCTTCAAATTTCATAAATTTGAGACACCAAACTCTAAAACTAGAGTAAGACTTGTAAAAAAATAAAAGTTAAATGTATTCTAGATTCAGGTCAAATTTGACTCTAAAATATTATTCTCATTAATTTATTTTTATTTGAGAAACCATACTTTAAAAATAGTATAAGACTTTTAAAAACTTAAATGCTTGTTTTCTAGATTCAGGTCAAATTTGACTTTAAAATATTATTCTCATTAATTTATTTTTATTTGAGATTTTGTTGATAAGTAAGAAAAAGTAACAAGTTTTAATTAATACTTACATTCAAGTCACTGGCACAGGTTCCTCCATTCAAACACAAGTTGTCACTACAGCCCTGATTTACCTGTCATTTGGTAACAAAATACTAGTTTGTTAACAAAATACTAGTTGGTTAACAAAATACTAGTTTGTTAACAAAATACTGGTTAACAAAGTACTAGTTAACAAAGTTATAAATGTTTTGAGCATGATAGTAGGCTTAAGAAAGTAGTGCAAGATGGCAAAAACATGTTTGAAAAAGACATACTAAGAAAACAGCCTTATCCAATATCCATGTTACAATCTACCAGAGTTAAATTAAATTTCATGACCAAAAATTAGATTAGTATAGGCCTAGATCTACATTTTATTGAAATAAATATTTCTACATTATCCAAGTGACCTCATATAAAAATACTGTACATTTAAAAAACAAAGAAAAGATTATTAACCAACACATACAAAATTGATTTGACCACAGTAAATAGTTGGGGAAAACAAAAAGAAAGATTCAATCAAAATAAAAACTTTGACCTACTAACAGAAGAAGTGAAGTATTTTTAAGGGGAGTTAAGCCAATGTACATGCACATTTTTAACCAAGTCATGAGGAAATTTTTCTTAAATTGTTTTAGATTATTTGCAAGAGACTATTTTAGAGCAATATTTTAAAGTTGTGTTATTGTCAACAAGTGCCAAAATACAGAAGCTTATAGCATTAACAAGGCCCAACAAACAAAGATTTAACACATTACAAAAATGGTAACAATTTACCAACTATCTAGGGGACTTGAAAAACAAAGTGTAATAATCCATAAGTACTGTGGTCACAAGATTAGTGATTAAAAATACATTTTAACATTGTGATAAAATAAAACATTACACTGAGAAAAGAATTTCTGATTATACAAGGATTTAGATCTAAATTAATTAAAAACTTCTGATAAAAATTTAGAGTAACTAAAATAAAATAATATCTCAGACTTAGGTGAACAAATCTGACTGATAAACTAGACCAAGGGCAAAAATCTAAATGATAACAGAGACGTAGAGCAACAAATCTAAATGATAACAGAGACGTAGAGCAACAAAACTAGATGATAACAGAGATGTAGAGCAACAAAACTAGATGATAACAGAGACATAGAGCAACAAATCTAAATAATAACAGAGACGTAGAGCAACAAATCTAAATGATAACAGAGACGTAGAGCAACAAAACTAAATGATAACAGAGACATAGAGTAACAAAACTAAATGATAACAGAGACTTAGAGCAACAAATCTAAATGATTACAGAGACTTAGAGCAACAAATCTAAATGATAACAGAGACTTAGAGCAAAACATATAAATGATAAAATTATAGAGCAACAAAAGCGAACCAACAGAGATTTAGCGTAACATAAATTAAGTGATAACAGACTTGACCAACTAAACTAATAGATAACAGAGACTTAACCAAAAAAAAAATCATAAGACTTGTAGTAAAAAAAAACATTAAATTTCTAAATCAACTTACAGTGACATTACAGTACCACCCTGTGTAGTTGGTGCCGCTACAGTTGCAGGTCGTGTCATAGCCACGGTTGACACACGTCCCATTGTTTTGACAGTCTGTCGTCCCACTACACAGGTCGAGGGCTGTCTGGCATCTGACATGCAGCGGGGAAAAGACAAACAGACAGGTCATCAAGCATGCAGAGACCAGCATCCATGATGGATCTCGGCGTTTAGACCCACCTCCACTGTATGGGCGAGGCTTTCCTCCATCTTTCTTCACACCCATTTCATCTTAGTTCATTTAACAAGCACCTACACATTATTCAAACACCTACACATTATTTTAACACCTCCACATAATTTTAAGAACTAACAAGAATCTCCTCCAATAGTCACATTAATGAAATAAATCCAGTGTTTTTTTTTTCTTCTTCTTCACAATACAAAAGGTTTATCAAAGTGCCTAATGTCAACACAAGTAAGCAAATAATTTCATGTTAACTTTATAATTGTGTAGCTAAATATAGAATACACAAGGAAGAGATTAAAAACAAAGGCAATAAATAACCTTTAACCTTTTCATAAACTGGCCTATCAGTGTCAAATCTGATAACAAAATCACATTCTTGATAAATGTGGGTAAACAAAAGATTTGTTATTTTAATTTGTCACAGGTAATTTGCAGGCTAATTTAAAATAATTTCACTGCCATTTTTTAATCAGCTTTAAATATGTTGGTCAGTGGCAGAGTTAGATGAGGCTTTGTGTGAATTTTAATAAAAACAAAAATAGGTAAGTTAAATCTGAACTAAATGCTTCACAACAGTATATCTTTATACATGATCTTTTTTATAGTCTGTTAAACCATCAAAATTGTTCACAGAATTGAAGATGTGTTGCACCAATTGCAGTAGCATAAAGACCAGAATTTTATGAAAATCGTGAAAGCTGATTCTATAAATAAATGAGCCAACTCAAACTTGAGCAAACACGAAGAGGGCGAGCAGACAGTGGGAGGCTGGGAGGGTATTAGCAGACGAGGAAGGAATAAAGAGGAGGGAAAATCTCCCAGGGATAAATTCCTTTGAGCAGACATTGATTGATTAAGTGGACCTATTGATACATGACAATCCTCAGGCAGAATGTGTCAAAGAAATCAATCAAATTCAGCTACTGCTCAGTGGGGATTATTAAAAACAGTAATTTTCTTACACAGGAGCATAATTTTACGAAACAAAAGTTATTTATGGTATACACAAGCCAAAACCATACCCACAGGTCTATTTCTATGATAAAAATGGAATTTATAACCAGCGTTGAAACTGGGGTATAGTAGACTCTATATTTATCTTGTCAATCAAACAATCTAATTACAGTGTTTCTAGCCTTATCAGTTACATAAGGACTAGTGTGGGAACCAGTGGGCTACAGAGTGCACTACATGAGGAAATATTGACTTGGTGGGAGACCAAGGATGTGAGAATTATTGCTTTGAACATAGGAATTATGGGAAGGTTTTACATTTATGGGGAAAAGGAATTATGGGAAATATTGACCTGTTGACTTGAATTATTGAATAAAGAGAGAGAGTAGGAATTATTAAGATTTGCAGGGGAACTAGAATTAAAGAAACTAGTGATTAGCTGGGGAACAGGAATTTTTGACTCGCATGGGGAGGGGGGAGAGAGCGGAGAATGTGAGGGGCATGGGGAAAAAATTATAGGATTTGTTGACTGATGCTAGATGGAGCTGAAATTATAGGTAATATTGACTTGAGAAAAGGAGTTATGTAAAGTATAGGATGCAGAAAAACAAAGCTGTAAAGATGAAGTAAAATTCACAATCATTAAGCTGCGCTGTCAGAAATAAATGAAGTAATTAGCAGCTTTTTGAATCTGCCATCAGTTAACAGGTGTGTCCATCCCACACAATGGCTGACTGACTAAAAATTTGACAGTGGCCTCCCCTGCCAGGGCAAACATCAAAACCCAATCAGAAACAGCCTTGGCCAGTCAAACAGGGGAAGATTGAGCTAGATTAGCGTCAGAGCTCTCGCCATTTTCTCACCAGGCCCAAAACAAATACTTTAAACAAGGGGGCACTTGGAACCTGCAACATTTAGTGACTTGATTGACAGTATAGAACATTTGACAGTATAGAACATTTGGAACCTGCAACATTTAGTGACTTTATTGATAGTATAGAACATTTGACAGTATAGAACATTTGGAACCTGCAACATTTAGTGACTTGATTGACAGTATAGAACATTATTTTGGAACCTGCAACATTTAGTGACTTGATTTATTAAGAGTATAGAACATTTGGAACCTGCAACATTGAAGTACATCACTGATGTACATCACTGATGTACATAATATTTGAACCAGTGTTTCTTTCAGGCATCTCAATTTTCACAACCCCCCTTCCCCTGACCACCACCACCAAGCACTTCCAATCCCCCTAGATAATGAAATTTAAAATATATTTTTCTTGAGCCCCCTGAATAAGAACACCTGAAATAAACCCTGATTAGTACCCTCAACTTATCCAAATAATCAGTCTACATAGATCTGCAACTTGTGCAGATGGTATCCTTTTAAAGCTCAAATCTTAATCTGCTTGCTATTAATTGAACTTCTAAAAAACCTTAATTGGATTTTCCAAGCTCATTAGCAATTAATGGCTTACTAGAAGAAAGGCAACAAACAAAATGAAATCCAGGATATGCAATACAAAGGACCAAATGAAACCACAAATTAAAAACAAAAAACTGTTGAGATATAGAGAGAAAGTTCCAAACAGGCAGATGGGTAAACAAGGGCAGATAATGACAAGGGGATCAATTCAGACATTGTTATTCTTCATGTTATTTTAGGATGGGGTATACTGTGCGCCATATGTAATAAGCCTACATTATTTTAATGACATGATACTATGGTCAATTTGCCATAACATACATCTAATATCAACTTTTAAAAAAGCTGATCTAATCTACAAAGTAACTTACAAAATCAACTTATGGTACATAGTTTCAACAGATGCTTGAGATGACACCCTCCATTATACTTTGGATATTTATAGTTGAGGAAAGTGTGTTGAGACAATGGGCACGTTTGAAAAACTATCAAATCTTACATTACTTCTAATAACACAGGCAACTCTATTGGAAGTTTTATATTGATGTCAATAAAATATACTTAAGATATGGGCCTATTATGGGATGGGCTATAAAGTGACACAAGAGGATGGGCTCTGGTGAATAACATGAAAAGCACCATCAAAAAGGCTATTGGGGTAAGGGATGATAACAAAAATATGCTCTAGACAAAAGAGTTTAAGATACACCTGTAACTACAAAGAGTAGCTGCTGTGAGGTTAATGTAACTAGTAATAAAACAGATAGCGTTAGTTGCCTCACATGTTAAAGATAAACCTGTAAGGAATGGGTCATGTGATATTATAATAGGCAGGGTTAAAGTGCATGGCTAGAGTCAGCTGATGGCACAGAACTGTTTAAAGGTAACACAATAAAAAAACAAACAAAAAGGGTATGATAAGTTAGATAAGAATCTTCTTTAAAAAACCATGGTTAGGCTACTGGTAGTCAACTAAAATACATGGCTTGTTAATGTCAATGCTAACCCTAACCCCCAACCCTAGTCCTACCATATGCCCAACCCTAATTTCTATCCATAAAACTAGTTGAAATTATAATACTACTAACAACCTAGCACCCCTCTTTTTGGAAGAGTCTACTAACAAACATAGGTATCATCAATCATCCCAGATATGTATTTTAGGTGACACAGTGTCAGACTTGAGAATGTGGGGTGTGGACTACAACATACAAGGCAGTCACACTAACAAACACACTATACATGGGCTACAGGCCTATCTATGTTCAACAAAATTCAGCACACTAACAAACACACCACACATGGACTACAGGCCTATCTGTGTTCAACAAAATTCAGCACACTAACAAACACACTACACATGGGCTACAAAACTCAGCACACTAACAACACACTACACATGGACTACAAAACTCAGCACACTAACTACACACTACACATGGACTACAAAACTCAGCACACTAACAGCACACTACACATGGGCTACACATCTCAGCACACTAACAACACACTACACATGGGCTACAAAACTCAGCACACTAACAACACACTACACATGAACTATCGGCCTATCTGTGTTCAACATAACACAGCACACAAGAATGTCAGGACTGCTGATAAACACACAGCTAAGCTGACACTCCCATCAGCAATCAATAAACTTAATACTAGTTTAAAAACACAATTTAAAACTTGCTTTAGATAAATGAATATAATTTTGTGAGCTAATGAGTTCAGCGCTACTAAATCTAGATCTAGATTGGCAAAAGAAGTGATGTTTTAATCTGAGATGAACTCTAAATTAAAGTGACCTCCAACACACTAACAATTGACATTTAAGAAACCAGCCAATAACCAATAAGAAACCAGCAAATGACCAATAAGGAAGCACCAATTACCAATAAGAAAGCACGAAACGACCAAATGACCAATAAGAAACGACCAAATGACTAATTAGAAACAACCAAATGACTAATAAGCAACAACCAAATGACCAATAAGAAACAACCAAATGACCAAATGACTAATAAGAAACAACCAAATGACCAATAAGAAACAACTACCAAATGCCCAATGAGACTACATAATGACCACTTAAAGACCAAGTGACCTCTCATCAGAAAACCAATGAGTGACCATTAAGTGAATACAACAAACCACAAAGTTACCAAAGTTAGATCGAATTACAATAAGCACTCACTGACAATACCAAAGACAAAAACATCCGTGTTTACTGTTTGCTAACTTCCACTGTGAGAATACATGAACACAGAGAATAAACAAGAGATAAAATCTTAAATAAATTCATTTAAACATGTGAAACCATATCTAAACTCTTAAAGACCCTAATGAATGTACTGACAGATTTCATTACACTTGGCAATCTCTAGGCCCAATGAACAGTGACAGATACAAAACTTGATCAATAGCCTATAATAGGAAGTACACATTCTTAGTCAGATAACGGAAAAAGTAAGGTATAAAAATTTCACAATGTCTACATAAAAGCAGAGGTTACACTGTTTAAATCTTACAATGGCAACAAAACACCGGGTAAAAATTTCACTGTTAATAACTTAAAATAGTTAATTTTTTAAATCCTCCGAAATAGTTTGAAAAACAAGAAGACCTATAACTACATAAGCTTTGCACGATGTATGAATCACGCCCCATCCAACGTACAGGCGACACGGCGAAAAGACAACACACACGACGCGAAAGTTGTCAACAAGTCCCCCGCCATCAGCACATTCCGCAGCACGAGACACGCCGTGCTCAGGTAGCGCGACACGGTGACCTAGACGGAGTCGTCCTACCTGCTGAAGGAATTTTTTTTTTGGCTCGGCAGTGTAAGGGAGAAATCAATGGTGAATAGACAACAGTGGGTGGTTGTTTTTTTTTCTTCCTTGTGTATCGCTGCATAGAGGTAAACTGTGGGCCATTTACTGACGCGGTGGTGGTCAAACTACGGCCATTTACAGAGTGGTGGTCAAACTACGGCCGTTATTTGACATTGTGAAAGTATGGGCATTTAATCAAGTGGTCAAACTGCGGCCGATATTTTACATTGTGAAATTATGGGCATTTAATGAGGAGCGCCAAACTGGCCATTTTCTGGCATGCTTAAACAACAGCCAATTACTGATGTGGCCAAACTACGGCGATTTATAGACATGGTAAAACTACGGCTATTTGAAGAGTCAAACTACGGCTATTTACAGACGTAGCCAAAATACGTCAATTTGCAGACTTAGTCAAATTACGTCCATTTGCAGACTTAGTCAAATTACGTCCATTTGCAGACTTAGTCAAATTACGTCCATTTGCAGACTTAGTCAAATTACGTCCATTTGCAGACTTAGTCAAATTATGTCCATTTGCAGACTTAGTCAAATTACGGCCATTTACAGACGGAGGTAAACTACGGCCATTTGCAGACGTAATCAAACTACGGCCATGTACTGATCTATAGGGCACGCGACTAACATAATCTTTCGTCAACCACTCACTCGAACACCAGCTCCGCCCAACGGCTCTATACAAGTACTGGCTCTACTGGCCGTAGCTCTCCAGTTCCTAATCTAACATCTCATCCATCAACCCAATATATAATCTACATGTACATTCCCATCCATTGAAACGTATGAGTATATCGCCAGAGACTATCCACCTCCTAAGTAAAGCCTCAATACAGAGTTCTGGAAATAACTAGCAGGGTTTCTTTTTTTTTTCAGTGGACGGGATGGGGGCACACACTTTGAGCTTCCGGGTGGGGGGAGGACTATCATCATCATCCTTCCTTTGTGGACTATGCTTAGGGTATATGTTTTAATATAAATGTAATATTATTTCTGGTTCTGAGCGCACACCCCCAAGACACGAACTCCCTTTGCCTAACTATATTCATATCCCAGCATTTTTAGCGGGTAATAAGTTCGTGTTTCTACATCAACATTACTTGTTAAAAATATAAATAGGCCTACATGGAAAAGATAACTTCTGATGGGTTTAACAATCACGCAATGAGAACCTTCTCTCATGTGTGTATATGACGTGACGTACGTGCCAGCCATCTTCTTTGCTACGCTCCGGCTTAAGCTGCAGACATTAGTTGAGAGTTGTCGCCCATGTTGTCTCCGTGTTCTACATAATATTTATTGACTATTCTAATTCATAGTTTTACTGGCGGCATAAAGTACTGCGATAAAAATAGAACATAATTCTACAATTCTGGCGAGGGTACGTCAGCGAATAATTACACTTCATGGTGCCTAAAAGTCAAGGACGAAGTTTATTTATAATTTATGTTCATTTACGTTTGATTTTTAAAAAAGAAATTTCCAGTTAAAAGTAAACCTGGGAATCTTTATTTAAAAAAAATTGGCAGCGATTTGGGCAATAAATCCTGGCTTGGATACAATGAGAAACAGGATTTAAGAAGAATAGGTGTCGCCAGTGTAGTGCGGCAGCTAAATATAGGCTAGAGCACCGCCTCTTGAAACCCACTACTGGAGGACTAGAAGACGATAGGAACGCGGGTTAGAGGCTGTTTCAGTATTTTAGAAACACTGAGTCAGATGGCGTCACCACTAGCCACTAGTGTTGTTGAGCCAATCCCATACTTGCGCGTATCTGTAGGCCTGCAACAAACCCCCGCTACAAGACTGATCAGCCAATACTCAGTTCGTATTTAGACGTAGCTATCCATTTAGCAGATGAAGTAGAGTTCAAGTTTTTTGACATCGGTATTTGAAGGGATGGTGTGGTCAGCACTATGCCCAGCCGCCTTTACTTTCCCCAACGTAAATCAGGTACCCATCAGAGCTGCGTGGACTATGGGATGTCCTACAATCCCAAGTATAAACCCAAAATCCGAATTTGATACCTACGGGCTAGCAGCCAATTGTTCTACCACCCGACCACGCCATACCACTCAGAAGAGTGACAAAAAAAGCTTCAAAACTGAGCAACCAAACAACCCCTACTTCAAAACTGACCAACAAAACAACCCCTACTCCAAACCTGACCAAGAAAACAACCCCTAGTCCAAAACTGACCAACAAAACAACCCCTACTCCAAAACTGACCAATAAAACAACCCCTACTCCAAAAACTGACCAACAAAACAACCTCTTCTCCAAAAACTGACCAACAAAACAACCTCTTCTCCAAAAACTGACCAACAAAACAACCCCTAGTCCAAAACTAACCAACAAAACAACCCCTAGTCCAAAACTGACCAACAAAACAACCCCTACTCCAAAACTGACCAACAAAACAACCTCTTCTCCAAAAACTGACCAACAAAAAAAAAACCCTATTCCAAAACTAACCAACAAAACAACCCCTACTCCAAAACTGACCAATAAAACAACCCCTAGTCCAAAACTGACCAACAAAACAACCTCTTCTCCAAAAACTGACCAACAAAACAACCCCTAGTCCAAAACTAACCTATAAAACAACCCCTACTCCAAAACTGACCAACAAAACAACCTCTTCTCCAAAAACTGACCAACAAAACAACCCCTAGTCCAAAACTGACCAATAAAACAACCCCTAGTCCAAAACTGACCAACAAAACAACTCCTACTCCAAAACTGACCAACAAAACAACCCCTAGTCCAAAACTGACCAACAAAACAACCCCTAGTCCAAAACTGACCAACAAACAACCCCTATTCTAAAATTGACCAACAAAACAATCCCAACTCCAAAATTGACCAACAAAACAACCCCTAGTCCAAGACTGACCGCTAAATTAAACACAGCGCTGTCCCAATCGACCCATGACACAAGGAACCAAATTTGACCAAAACATATGATCCACGGTTTAAGCATCCCCCTGACCCACTCCCCCCTCCCTCCAGCAGCCCAACAACATGAACCTAACAGTAACAGCGAACTTTGACCTGCTACCACTAGTACCACCACAGAAATCCCATCCGATGCTGAGACGAGCAGGGACTACATCAAACTACACGCAACTCCACGACACTTTCATAGCGCTGACACACTCGGAACATCGACACATTCAGAGCATTTCACAATCGCTATCTGCTGAATTGTATAACAGTTTACTTCCTCGGGTAATTTTTGCTAAATTTTTAATGAAGTTTTGTAAACCATCATGTGTCCATTTTCGGTGGTTTGCGAAATCATTTTTAATTCACAAGGAATCAATAATTTTTTTTTTCTGTTTGCGATTTCTTAAAATCACCTCTCTATGTGAGATCGTTGCAACTAGGACATGTGCATTTTAAAAACATTTAACTAAGTGACAAGCAGTTTACATAGCAGTTTAAAACCAAGACTAAGTTACTGTCAGGATTAATTATTTAAACAACCAATCAGAATATTGTTTAATTTAAAGGGGTTTGTCCATTTGAGTGAAGGTATTACTTCAACCCCTTTTTGCAAATAACTAGCTTACTGATAAAGGGAGGTAATAAAAATAAACTAAATTTAAACCGCGTGTATGACTTATCTAATATAGCAAGGGACAGTTGAAGTTGTAGACTGTAGAGCAAAAGATTGCTAACCCAAAACTCTTAGAGTTAGATTCCCGAGCCTCATGTGAACTAGACGTCCGCAAGTCAATCTGGTTCTAACATTAGTACCTCATCTGAGTTAGGGAAAGTAAAGGTGGCTTGGACATAGTGCAAACCACCATTGACTAATTAAGCACAACTCTACTTCAACTGCCACATCTGGTCTAAGAGGGTATCTAACTATTTAATTATCTTAAAAAAACCACTGACCTGTCACCACTGTAACCACGGAGACAGTCACAGGTAGCGGTTCCAGCCCCATCCAGACATCGACCTCCATGCAGGCAGCCCTTGGTGGCGCAATCATCCGGGTTGACCTCACAGTAACCCCCCTCAAAACCTGCCGCACAGTCACAGTGAAACGCGTTCCACTCGTCCCTGCAGGTGCCCCCGTTCAGACACCTGACAGACGGACACACGTCTTTCCCAGTGCAGTGGTGGACAAGGTCTACAGGAGTGGCCAGGTACCTGACTGGGGCGGTGTTGTTGATGAATACACCGTCAGGGAAGAACGGCATCAACACCCCGCCCATTCTGACCTCCTCTAAACATCCATGGAAGTTAACCTCCCACCTTTTGGAGTACTTAGCGAGGTTGGAGTTCGCAAGAGTTATTTTTCCCCTGGTTAGCATTTCATCCATCTCAACAGAAGATCCGTTGATTGGTCGGTTTCCTGTGTCGTCATAGATGTTTCCACGGTTACCGCCGTCGTCCTGGAAGACCTGCAGGCGCAGGAAGGTCGAGTTGACCACCTCAAACCTGACGTGGTACCATTTCCCATCATTCACCGCAAGCTGCTGGTTTGTGGTGGCCGTTTCGGAGAAGGCTTCAGATAGTTTGGAATTAATTTCAAGCCGACCGCGCGCCAGGCGTAGTTTGATGAAGTACTGGTCAAGCTGCAGGAGGTAGATGATGCCGTACAGGGCCCTGCTGCGGAACCTGAAGGTCAGGACTGGGGAGGGCATCGACCCGTACAGGCTGTAGCTCACTGCGCTGTTGTCTGTCAGGAATGACGCGGTACTGACACCTGTCAATAGAAACATTAATGACATCTGACTTAGGAAACGTTAATGGCATTGTGAAAGCTGACTTGAATGAAAGATGACTTATTGATATTGATATCCAGAAAGAAAAGTAGGCTGAAATCAACAGGCCATATATTTATGTTGCATAACATGTTGACGTAATAATGTATTATATTAGGGGAAATCCCTTCCAATCTTAAAAATTAAGAATGAAGAAAAAAAACTCTTGCTAGTATAGGAGTCTATAATTTGTTCCCTAAAAAAAACCCTTAGTATGTTATTGATGCTGAAATACAACTTAAAAAAAATTTATTGAAAAATGCAAAACTATGCTTAATGAACCCAGATTTATTTTATGGACTGAAGACCTAAATTTATGGAATCAGTTCTAGAAGTGTTGAATGGTCCTCAATATTTATTAGTCATTTAAATATTAACACGTCATTTTACAACGGAGAATTTTGAAATAAAATATTTAAAATTCAATGCTTCTAAAACAAAACGTAACAAACGGTTTTAAAAACAAAATGAAAGTTTAACTGCCACGACAGTGTACAGTGTCAGCTGGTCAGACAGGACAGTGTCAGCTGTGGTGGTCAGACAAGACAGTGGCACTTACACTCGTATCCAAGCTGCAGGTTGACACAGCGTGACCTGTCAGGGCAGGTGGCGTATGAACAAAAATCTGGCTCACTGCAGTTTTTACCTGCGTAGCCTCTTGTACAGTTACACCTGGTGGGGGGAAAATAACAGCAGAACATTAGGTTAAGTAAATGTCACAGTGGTGGGTTAAGGTTAGGTTATAGATTTGCACAATAGCATTTATTAGTTGGGTTAACGTCACAAAATTTGGCATACAACACTGAGTTGTGTTTAGGTTTAATTATTAATAAGAAGTGAGAGGATCAAATCTCATATAAGGAGAACTGGCTTAGATGGTATCAGGTGTGAAATAAGAGCAAAAAGCTGGTGATGGTTGGGACATGCCCTGCAGAGGTCAAACAAGACTCCCCAAAATGGCAGTGAGATTCAGTTTATTTGGGCTACATAAAAGGTGAAGGCCATTGGGAACATGGAGGAGAGAGAGATGGAAGAAGACAGACCTCATTACAAACATAGTAAAACCTACACAAAGTCATTGAAGAAGACCTCATTACAAACTTAGTAAAACCTACACAAAGTCATTGAAGAAGACCTCATTACAAACTTAGTAAAACCTACACAAAGTCATTGAAGAAGACCTCATTACAAACATAGTAAAACCTACACAAAGTCATTGAAGAAGACCTCATTACAAACTTAGTAAAACCTACACAAAGTCATTGAAGAAGACCTCATTACAAACATAGTAAAACCTACACAAAGTCATTGAAGAAGACCTCATTACAAACATAGTAAAACCTACACAAAGTCATTGAAGAAGACCTCATTACAAACATAGTAAAACCTAAACAAAGTCATTGAAGAAGACCTCATTACAGAGTAAAACCTACACAAAGTCATTGAAGAAGACCTCATTACAAACATAGTAAAACCTACACAAAGTCATTGAAGAAGACCTCATTACAAACATAGTAAAACCTACACAAAGTCATTGAAGAAGACCTCATTACAAACATAGTAAAACCTACACAAAGTCATTGAAGAAGACCTCATTACAAACATAGTAAAACCTAAACAAAGTCATTGAAGAAGACCTCATTACAGAGTAAAACCTACACAAAGTCATTGAAGAAAACCTCATTACAAACATAGTAAAACCTACACAAAGTCATTGAAGAAGACTTCATTACAAACATAGTAAAACCTACACAAAGTCATTGAAGAAGACCTCATTACAAACATAGTAAAACCTACAAAAAGTCATTGAAGAAGACCTCATTACAAACATAGTAAAACCTACACAAAGTCATTGAAGAAGACCTCATTACAAACATAAAACCTACACAAAGTCATTGAAGAAGACCTCATTACAGAGTAAAACCTACAAAAAGTCATTGAAGAAGACATCATTACAAACATAGTAAAACCTACACAAAGTCATTGAAGAAGACCTCATTACAAACATAGTAAAACTTACACAAAGTCATTGAAGAAGACCTCATTACAAACATAGTAAAACCTACACAAAGTCATTGAAGAAGACTTCATTACAAACATAGTAAAACCTACACAAAGTCATTGAAGAAGACCTCATTACAAACATAGTAAAACCTACACAAAGTCATTGAAGAAGACCTCATTACAAACATAGTAAAACCTACACAAAGTCATTGAAGAAGACCTCATTACAAACATAGTAAAACCTACACAAAGTCATTGAAGAAGACCTCATTACAAACATAGTAAAACCTACACAAAGTCATTGAAGAAGACCTCATTACAAACATAGTAAAACCTACACAAAGTCATTGAAGAAGACCTCATTACAAACATAGTAAAACCTAAACAAAGTCATTGAAGAAGACCTCATTACAGAGTAAAACCTACACAAAGTCATTGAAGAAGACCTCATTACAAACATAGTAAAACCTACACAAAGTCATTGAAGAAGACCTCATTACAAACATAAAACCTACACAAAGTCATTGAAGAAGACCTCATTACAGAGTAAAACCTACAAAAAGTCATTGAAGAAGACATCATTACAAACATAGTAAAACCTACACAAAGTCATTGAAGAAGACCTCATTACAAACATAGTAAAACTTACACAAAGTCATTGAAGAAGACCTCATTACAAACATAGTAAAACCTACACAAAGTCATTGAAGAAGACTTCATTACAAACATAGTAAAACCTACACAAAGTCATTGAAGAAGACCTCATTACAAACATAGTAAAACCTACACAAAGTCATTGAAGAAGACCTCATTACAAACATAGTAAAACCTACACAAAGTCATTGAAGAAGACCACATTACAAACATAGTAAAACCTACACAAAGTCATTGAAGAAAACCTCATTACAAACATAGTAAAACCTACACAAAGTCATTGAAGAAGACCTCATTACAAACATAGTAAAACCTACACAAAGTCATTGAAGAAAACCTCATTACAGAGTAAAACCTACAAAAAGTCATTGAAGAAGACCTCATTACAAACATAGTAAAACCTACACAAAGTCATTGAAGAAAACCTCATTACAGAGTAAAACCTACACAAAGTCATTGAAGAAAACCTCATTACAGAGTAAAACCTACACAAAGTCATTGAAGAAGACCTCATTACAAACATAGTAAAACCTAAACAAAGTCATTGAAGAAGACCTCATTACAGAGTAAAACCTACACAAAGTCATTGAAGAAGACCTCATTACAAACATAGTAAAACCTACACAAAGTCATTGAAGAAGACCTCATTACAAACATAAAACCTACACAAAGTCATTGAAGAAGACCTCATTACAGAGTAAAACCTACAAAAAGTCATTGAAGAAGACATCATTACAAACATAGTAAAACCTACACAAAGTCATTGAAGAAGACCTCATTACAAACATAGTAAAACTTACACAAAGTCATTGAAGAAGACCTCATTACAAACATAGTAAAACCTACACAAAGTCATTGAAGAACACTTCATTACAAACATAGTAAAACCTACACAAAGTCATTGAAGAAGACCTCATTACAAACATAGTAAAACCTACACAAAGTCATTGAAGAAGACCTCATTACAAACATAGTAAAACCTACACAAAGTCATTGAAGAAGACCACATTACAAACATAGTAAAACCTACACAAAGTCATTGAAGAAAACCTCATTACAAACATAGTAAAACCTACACAAAGTCATTGAAGTAGACCTCATTACAAACATAGTAAAACCTACACAAAGTCATTGAAGAAAACCTCATTACAGAGTAAAACCTACAAAAAGTCATTGAAGAAGACCTCATTACAAACATAGTAAAACCTACACAAAGTCATTGAAGAAGACCTCATTACAAACATAGTAAAACCTACACAAAGTCATTGAAGAAGACCTCATTACAAACATAGTAAAACCTACACAAAGTCATTGAAGAAGACCTCATTACAAACATAGTAAAACCTAAACAAAGTCATTGAAGAAGACCTCATTACAGAGTAAAACCTACACAAAGTCATTGAAGAAGACCTCATTACAAACATAGTAAAACCTACACAAAGTCATTGAAGAAGACCTCATTACAAACATAAAACCTACACAAAGTCATTGAAGAAGACCTCATTACAGAGTAAAACCTACAAAAAGTCATTGAAGAAGACATCATTACAAACATAGTAAAACCTACACAAAGTCATTGAAGAAGACCTCATTACAAACATAGTAAAACTTACACAAAGTCATTGAAGAAGACCTCATTACAAACATAGTAAAACCTACACAAAGTCATTGAAGAAGACTTCATTACAAACATAGTAAAACCTACACAAAGTCATTGAAGAAGACCTCATTACAAACATAGTAAAACCTACACAAAGTCATTGAAGAAGACCTCATTACAAACATAGTAAAACCTACACAAAGTCATTGAAGAAGACCTCATTACAAACATAGTAAAACCTAAACAAAGTCATTGAAGAAGACCTCATAACAGAGTAAAACCTACACAAAGTCATTGAAGAAGACCTCATTACAAACATAGTAAAACCTACACAAAGTCATTGAAGAAGACCTCATTACAAACATAAAACCTACACAAAGTCATTGAAGAAGACCTCATTACAAACATAGTAAAACCTACACAAAGTCATTGAAGAAGACCTCATTACAAACATAAAACCTACACAAAGTCATTGAAGAAGACCTCATTACAGAGTAAAACCTACACAAAGTCATTGAAGAAGACCTCATTACAAACATAGTAAAACCTACACAAAGTCATTGAAGAAGACCTCATTACAAACATAAAACCTACACAAAGTCATTGAAGAAGACCTCATTACAGAGTAAAACCTACAAAAAGTCATTGAAGAAGACATCATTACAAACATAGTAAAACCTACACAAAGTCATTGAAGAAGACCTCATTACAAACATAGTAAAACTTACACAAAGTCATTGAAGAAGACCTCATTACAAACATAGTAAAACCTACACAAAGTCATTGAAGAAGACCTCATTACAAACATAGTAAAACTTACACAAAGTCATTGAAGAAGACCTCATTACAAACATAGTAAAACCTACACAAAGTCATTGAAGAAGACTTCATTACAAACATAGTAAAACCTACACAAAGTCATTGAAGAAGACCTCATTACAAACATAGTAAAACCTACACAAAGTCATTGAAGAAGACCACATTACAAACATAGTAAAACCTACACAAAGTCATTGAAGAAAACCTCATTACAAACATAGTAAAACCTACACAAAGTCATTGAAGAAGACCTCATTACAAACATAGTAAAACCTACACAAAGTCATTGAAGAAAACCTCATTACAGAGTAAAACCTACAAAAAGTCATTGAAGAAGACCTCATTACAAACATAGTAAAACCTACACAAAGTCATTGAAGAAAACCTCATTACAGAGTAAAACCTACACAAAGTCATTGAAGAAAACCTCATTACAGAGTAAAACCTACACAAAGTCATTGAAGAAGACCTCATTACAAACATAGTAAAACCTAAACAAAGTCATTGAAGAAGACCTCATTACAGAGTAAAACCTACACAAAGTCATTGAAGAAGACCTCATTACAAACATAGTAAAACCTACACAAAGTCATTGAAGAAGACCTCATTACAAACATAGTAAAACCTACACAAAGTCATTGAAGAAGACCTCATTACAAACATAGTAAAACCTACACAAAGTCATTGAAGAAGACCACATTACAAACATAGTAAAACCTACACAAAGTCATTGAAGAAAACCTCATTACAAACATAGTAAAACCTACACAAAGTCATTGAAGTAGACCTCATTACAAACATAGTAAAACCTACACAAAGTCATTGAAGAAAACCTCATTACAGAGTAAAACCTACAAAAAGTCATTGAAGAAGACCTCATTACAAACATAGTAAAACCTACACAAAGTCATTGAAGAAGACCTCATTACAAACATAGTAAAACCTACACAAAGTCATTGAAGAAGACCTCATTACAAACATAGTAAAACCTACACAAAGTCATTGAAGAAGACCTCATTACAAACATAGTAAAACCTACACAAAGTCATTGAAGAAGACCTCATTACAAACATAGTAAAACCTACACAAAGTCATTGAAGAAGACCTCATTACAAACAGAGTAAAACCTACACAAAGTCATTGAAGAAGACCTCATTACAAACTTAGTAAAACCTACACAAAGTCATTGAAGAAGACCTCATTACAAACATAGTAAAACCTACACAAAGTCATTGAAGAAGACCTCATTACAAACATAGTAAAACCTAAACAAAGTCATTGAAGAAGACCTCATTACAGAGTAAAACCTAAACAAAGTCATTGAAGAAGACCTCATTACAAACATAGTAAAACCTACACAAAGTCATTGAAGAAAACCTCATTACAGAGTAAAACCTACACAAAGTCATTGAAGAAGACCTCATTACAAACATAGTAAAACCTACACAAAGTCATTGAAGAAAACCTCATTACAGAGTAAAACCTACACAAAGTCATTGAAGAAGACCTCATTACAAACATAGTAAAACCTACACAAAGTCATTGAAGAAGACCTCATTACAAACTTAGTAAAACCTACACAAAGTCATTGAAGAAGACCTCATTACAAACATAGTAAAACCTACACAAAGTCATTGAAGAAGACCTCATTACAAACATAGTAAAACCTACACAAAGTCATTGAAGAAGACCTCATTACAAACACCGTCATGTTCACACGTGGAGCTGGTACAAACTTTCCTTGTAGACTCGCTGGTGTTGGTTGCGTTAAACTGGTCTGCAGTCACCACTGGTTCGTTGTTGTACACAACATCCTGAAGCATTCAAACAGACATCAGCATTTTAACAACAACAAAATTTAAGGAATAATTACTTACAGTCATCATCGTTTTAACAACAAAATTTAAGGCGTTAATTACTTTCTATTAATTTTTTTTTCAAATTAATAACATAAATAAATAAATAATTATGGACACGTAAGCCTACCTAACTGAAAATGCAAATTCTCTAATTCAATTCCAGGTTTCAATGGCTTGTGTGTTGGTAAAAGTAAAGCTAATATACTTATCTATACTTTACCAGCATGACACATACATGTCATTTCTTGAGTCTGTACAGTACAAAGTAAACACTCAAATACTGACCTTGATGACACCTACCTTCCATTTTCTGAGTCTGGACATAAAAAGTAAATATTATAAGTTACCTGGATGACACCTTCTAGGCCAGGCATGGACAGGTAAAAATTGGCTTGGTTGCTATCTTGACGTTTGGACCTAATTAAAACCTCGGAGTCCTCACTGGGAAAATAATTAATGAGTTAATGAAAACCAGATAACACAACATTGGGCTAAGTACGGGAAAATAACATACAGTACATAATATATGGTAGGGAGAAGGGGGGGAGGAGAGCTTACAACATACAGAGCAAATATATAATATATATATATATATATATATATATATATATATATATATATATATATATATATATATATATATATATGTATATATATATATATATATATATATATATATATATATATATATATATATATATATATTCACTGCACAACATATATTCATTTCTACATCAACAACATAAAAACGTACTATGTAAAGTATGAAACATGGAAAAGACATTAACATTAACATCAGCAACATTCACTAAAATGTATTAAACCAGGTATGCAAACACTTTGCCTAAACACAGTCTTCAGACAACAGTTATATAATAACTAGTTTACAAAAAAAGGCAGGCCAAATTTATGTAATTAATACAACAGACTAAACTAAAACTAGATGAAACTTGTTTTCTACTTACTATAAATAGACATCTCTACGTTTGCGATTTTGAGGAGGCCGATAGAAAAGTCCAAAGGTAATATACTGCAAGCTAAACTTAAAGCTTGAGTCACATTTTTGGTCTATGTTGCTTGCTGAATACACCAACACCGAATCCACATAAAGAGCGTAATTATTATTACGAAAATATGACTCCACGTAATGTCGCTGACCATCATTAACTGGTTTTGCAACAGACGGTTGAATTTGCCTGGAAACCGAGCAGCGATTTAAATCTCCATAAAGCTGTCCCTGCTTTAGATAGAGGACCAAAAAACCTTCTTTTGGTGTGCCCTTCATTGCACCATTGGTAGCATATAAAACAAATCCAGTTTCTTGCCGTGTTGTTAGGAAGAAGGTGATGGACACATTGTCAGGGTAGGGGAATAAAGTGTAGTAGAGGTAGGTACTGGCTCCGTCTTTGCCGAGAGTGTAGGCCTGGTACTCTAAGATTGATGTATCAACTTTGTTAAAATTTATCAACATTATCTACATCAATACAATAAGTATAAAAATTAATAGCATTATTAACATCAACTTTTCATTATTGGCATCAAGATCAATTACATTAATATTATAAACACCAACATTTTTATCATCATCTTATAGCACTCGCATTCAAAAAGCTGGCTTACATAAGTGATTAATAATTTTATTTGTAAACAAAACTCATCTGAAAATATTTTTTAAACTATTTTTGTTTCATTATTATTGAAGCATAATATTTTTTGAAAATTTCTTTAAAACATTAAATATTAGTACCTTTAAACAAGTTCCTTAACTCCATCTTCACAAGACATTTACTTCCACAACTATTTTATATCTTAAATTTTTTTCTTTTGAGTTTTAATCCCAAAATTGAATCTTTTGTAAACATTCTCTAGGAAATTAACTGACACAGATCATAGAAACTAATGCTTGAGTTCAGAGATACACCACTTATCTTAACCCTGTACCACCTATCTAATGCCATGACTACACTGAATAATCGACCTAGTTGGTATCAACCAACTAGACCACAACTGTACCCACTATGTAAGTAAAACCATATAACAAGAAGCAAACCTTTCTGGCAAGTGTCCCCATAAAATGGCCTGACACAGTAGCATTTGAAATCTACCCACAGGTCCTGGCAATACCCATGGTTGCGGCAGGTGTTTTGTGTACACTGTACAGTTCTTGGACATCCCACACTCACTGCATTAAATTCACCTAATTATGTAAGACAAAAACTGGTTGAGAATTATTGGATACTTGCATTTATAAAAAAACATATTTTTTTAGAAATTTTTATTTACTTTACATGTGACTTTAGAGCACACAGCTAACCTAAGTTATGCCGAAACAGGTGAACTCTACTTCACTTGCCCCATGCTAATAATGTTTTATCTTTTGAGAAGGTTAGAAATTGAAGATGCAAAACCTTATCCATAGAGCAACATGAATTATAGATCCAACAACAGCCAACCAATACAACAACATTGCTATTAGTCAGGCCCTTTGTGGTCCATGGGAACAGACTTGTACATTTTGAAAAAAAGATGGGTACGTATGATAGAAAGGGATGGCTTGGTCAAATTACGGAGTTCGACTCCCTGGCTAGAGTTGTAGCCCGTCCCTGAGTCCATCCAGCTCTGATGGGTACCTGACTTCTGTGCCACCACACTATCTCTTCACATACCAAAGTCAGTGGGCCGCGCCAGGTTTGAAAAGGAACCTTACTTTTACTGGTCAAATAGTAGAGCTTTTGAATCCTAACCTAAAAGTCTCAAGTTCAGATCCCATGCTCAAGCCCACAGGACGTCCCTGAGTCTAACCAGCTATGATAGGTACCTGACTCATGTTTAGGATAGGAAAGGCGACTGGACATAGTGCTGACTAAAATATCCTTTCTCATGGAGAGGTCAGATAAACTCTACTTCACCTGCTGCAATAACTACAAGGTTTGAGTCGTTTTTTTAAAAATACATTTTCTTAAACTAAGGTAGATTCTGGTTGCCATGGAAACAGACCTGATGTCCCAGGGTAGTACAGCCGTTTGTTGACGGAAATGTCCTCCATACAGCCGACAAAACTTCCTGGTCCAGACGTCAGGCCGGGGGCGGGGCCTATCTGGATGGACTGGATGGTGGGGTGTGAGGCTAGCAGCTGGTGGACGCAGGGCTGGTTGGCCGTCAGACTGAGCTTACACTGGTCAGCAGGCAAGGTGAAGGTGATGTTGCCAGAGGCCGTGATGGTCAGTGTGTGGTAGTCACTGTTGTTCACTGGGGCCAGAGTGTCCAGTACTTTAACTGGGTTGTTCAGGTATTTGATTTGTAGCTGTAATATAAAACCATTATATTTCATCTTTTGACATTACTGCCATTTGTAGTAGTTTATCTAGTCAATTAATCCTTTCAATAAAAGAGTTGGTTGTTTATTTTCTGATATCACAACATATTTTTAATGTAGTTACATTATTGTTTTAAAAATCTAACCAAAGAGAACTTTTATTTGTAACTAAAATGTTCAAATATTGTTATTTTTAAATTTACGACTTTATGACTTTTAATATTTCACTTGTTTTCAGACTGAGAGGATTAAGTTCACAATTTTGTTTTAGTAAAAATTGCAATTTAAATTGCTTTACAGTACGGAAAGGTCCATGAAGATTAATTTAAGACTTAAAAAGATGTGTCCAAGTATACAAAACACAATTTCTTTGAACAGCTATTGTTATACATCTGTTTTACCAAGATGTTTTAATATCAATACAGGCTTACTCAAGAGACACAGACACTTCTGGTTCAGCCCCCCCCCCCCCCCCCAATCAGATACAAGCTCACTCAAGAGACAATTTCAATTTAATTTATTCAATTTATTCAATAACAGTAACAACAGTAGGAACAGAGGCCTTTTTCACATTGGGCGTTTTAAAATAAACAAATAAAACAACAATTTAATAACAGCATTTAAAAAAAAGCAAATGCGTAGTAAAGACATAGCAGTAACATACCACTAAAAATAGCCACAGATACAAGCCTACTATAAAGTTATAATTTTGAAAAAACCTGTAGTTTAATTTAAAAAATACTTACCCTGCCAGCGAACAGCTCCACTATAATGTTCAAGTTCGGGTCTGAAGTCATACAGACAAGCACAGTGGCAGCTGACAGCGTCGTACGGAAGCGCAGCGACAAATCAAATTTCTGGTTGTTGACGGGTACAACGATGGAGCTGTTCTGTGTGAAGCTGACGCCGGTGGGGGTGTCACAATACTGCCCCGTGTACCCGTACTTGCACTGGCAATCATACGCATGCTGACCAGCACTGGTCAGTTTAGGGATGCAGCTGCCTTGAACACAAATATTGTTCACGCACCCAACAAGCGGGACTGTGCAATTCTTGCCTCCATAGCTAGCAGCGGGGTACGCCACTTTTTGACACGTACACAAGTAATCCGCCACTTTGTCTGTACACGTTCCTCCATTCTGACAGGGCCTGTACACATCACATTCGTTGATTTCCTGATTGCAGTTGGCACCTGTGTAGCCAGGTGCGCAGGTGCAGGTGTAGCTGTTGAACTTGTTGTTACACGTGGCGTTGTTGTAGCATGGGTTGGAGTCACATTCATTGATGTCAACAGAACAATTTGGACCTGAAAATATTGGTTTATAAATACGGGATAGTTTTAAAAATACTAATAATATAGGCCCTATTTATGTCTGTGTATCATGAATAGGAATCTATATGCTAAACGCATTCATTATCATATGATGCTGATCCGTATCTTCTTTTATATTTACTGCAGTGAAAAATAAATTACTTTATAATTAATATAATGTATACACATAAAACACATCTATAAACTTAGTTTAGTACACTATAATGAAAAAAATGTAAACTAATGTTCAGGTGCTAAAGATTGCAATGCATGTCTGTGACAGCAGGTAAAAGACACTAAAAACAAGCAGGTAATCTCACCTGTAACACCAGGTACGCAGTAACACAGGTATCCTGCAGCCTTCTCATAGGTAAAGTTAACAAAGTTCAAATCCCCTTTATCATACAAGGTCTCATTGGAGAACTCATAACAGGTGCTGTTATACCAACAGGGCTGGGTCCTGCATTCTTGAATGTCTGTCTCACAGTTAGCTCCTGTGTAGCCTCCAAAACAGCTGCAGCTGTGTTGCTATTCTCACAGAAAATGTATAGTGTTTTAAATAGAAGGGTCACTATTTTAACAATTTTTAAGTTTTAAATGTTATCTAAAAAAAAAATCTACAAAAACTTTCCAGGTTTGAGGATACAAAAAGAATTAGGGAATGAAATAATAATCATAATTTAATAACTCAAAAAAGGATAACTTATTAAAAACAATTTGAGTTATCTTTCTTTAAAAGTGACAGTTTCTATATTTATAAAAAAAAATAAGCACAGGGGGGTTGGTAAACATTTATTATAAAATGTTTAGCACTTCTGCAGAGTGTGACACCTGCCTACCTTGATGCCATCAATACAGGTGCCACCATGCTTACATGGTTTACCTATGCAGTCGTCAATGTTTGTCTCACACCTTGCACCTGTGAAGCCAGTGTTGGAGCAGTCACAGCTGTAGCTGATAATTGAAAGGTGAAATACTAATGTGAAAAAACTTTTAGAAAGGGATTGGTCCAATATTATATCTTTATATCTTACTATATATCTCTGTTATATGTAATATATAAAGTTCAGTTCTGTAAGTATGCATGTTTAACTAACAATTAATAAGGCATTTAAGAAAAAAATAATATTTCTATTGCATCAAGTGTTAAATGTCTAAAGTGCTCATCCTCTAAATTCATGGTTTAAAAATTAATACTGAAAGTGTTATATTTTTTTAAAACTGATAGTAATAATTGCCGGCATGCTCATTAGACACAATTTTAAAAAAAATATCATCTTTTACAAAAATGCTAATTATGTCTGAAAATTATTTATATTTAGTCCTTTAGCACTTATTACTTCCCTTGATATGTTAGGAAAACACAATTACTTCCCTTTGAAAAACCATCGGGTGGAAAATAATTTACTTTTTATTACTTTGTTTTGGTGTTGGGAAAAAAATAATTACATAATTAGCGTGGATTCATCAAGTGCAATCTTGTAGGTATTTTTAATACTGCCTTTTATTTATTCTATACACTGAACGGACCAATTATTTTTGTAAATCAATAACAGTAAATAAGCCAGCTCCTAAATGTCCCATATCCTGTGAGCGCTATGGTGCATAATTTTGCTTTAAACATTGCAATAGACTATGGATAAGAAAGGTTACTATAGTCTTAAAGTGAATCAAATCCAGGCGTCCTCCGGCACCCCAACAGGGTGCTATTTGGCGCCCCAGGCCTTTCTGTGTTTGCTGTGGCGCCTACGTTCGTTTAAGTGAGTACAATAGCATATGAATATGTTGGTGTACTATTGTCGTTTACTAAGCTGATACAGGCGGTTCTGCCGGCGCCCCAGCATGGTGCGATTTGGTGCCACGGTCTAGACTGTGATCACTTTGCGTTTATGTTTATGTTTGCGTATGTGTTTTCTTTGAGTTTGGGTTGCGGTTAGGGTTGGGTTTGCGTTTGTGGTTGGGTATGTGTTTGGATTTGGTTTGTTTTCGTTTGCTTTTTTTTGTTTGTGTTTTCTTTGTGTTTGTGGTTGGGTTTGTGTTTATAGTTGTGTTTGCGTTACGTTTGCATTTTCTGTCTTTTGTTTTGTTTTAGTTTTGGTTGGTTGTGGATATGGTGTTTTAATTTTGGTTAGTTGTGGTTAGGGTGGGCAATGCCGGGTATATGCTGATTACTAAACACAAGTCATGGTCCTTTAAAGATAGGTTTTTCACAGAGGCCAGTGCAGGGCCTGGCCGGGACGGCTTATATATGTATATATATATATATATATGTATATGTATGTATTTATATATATGTATTTATATATATGTATGTATATATATATATATATATATATATGTATATATATATATATAAATATATATATATATATATATATAAATATATATATATATATATATATATATATATATATATATATATATATATATATATATATATATATATATATATATATATATATATATATATATATATATATATATATATATATATATATATATATATATGTTTTGTCTTGAGGCTGGCTCAAACACCTATCATTTGACCAGTCATGTGACCAGTATCTTGTCATGTGACTAGACACAACATCAAACCACCTACTTGTTAAGCTTGTCCAGACATTGACCTCCATTAAGACAAGGATTGGGTTCACAATCATTAATGTTAACTTCACAATCACTGCCAGTGATCCCTGGAATACAAGTACATGTGTAGCCATTGACTTGATCCTTGCATGTCCCATTGTTCTGGCAAGGTTTTGGAGCACAGTCATCAATGTTCACCTCACAAAAAGATCCTATGGGAATATTTGCACAAGTAAAATAAATAAAATTCTATATAGGGCTTATTTTGTACAGTTGCCTGTATATGTAATAAGTACAAACGAAGATTTAAGAAGTAAAACTAGTTAGGCAGTCATTTAAAAAATCCTGAACGCCAGGAATACAATGCATATTTGGTAATGTATAGCAGGGGAATAAAAAGTCCATGATCTGATATGTGTAGTCTAACAACAAACAGCCAAAAAATATATATATATAAAGCAATGATGTTTAACTTGATAACTTAGGTAAATCTACTTTCTAACTACACAGCTAAATCATTTAAAAACAGTAAAAAAAAAATCTAGGGTAACAACGCCAGCAGGGGAATAATCTTTATACCGTCCAGCTTGTGAGCAATGATGTGGTCTAAGAACAGCAACTCACCAGCAAAGCCTGGGGCACAGTCACAAACAGATCCCTGGTTTTCATTGCGGCAGACGCCTCCGTTCTGGCACGTCTGGTTGGGTAGTCTGATGTCACAGTAGGACCTGGATTGTTCACAGTAGGAGCCTGCAGTGGGGTGGCAACAACATGGTTAGGGGTGGCAACAACATGTTTAGGGGTGGCAACAACATGGTCAGGGGTGGCAACATAGTCAGGGGTGGCAACAACATGTTTAGGGGTGGCAACAACATGTTTAGGGGTGGCAACAACATGGTTAGGGGTGGCAACAACATGTTTAGGGGTGGCAACAACATGGTTAGGGGTGGCAACAACATGGTTAGGGGTGTATAAACTAATATTTAGGGGTGTAATAACATCTTTAGAGGTGCAACATCATGTTTAGGAGTGCATAAAATAATATTTAGGGGTGTAATAATATCTTTAGTGGTGCTACAACATGTTTAGGGGTGCATAAAATAATACTTAGGGGTGTAATAACATCTTAAGTGGAGCAACATCAAATGTTTAGGGATCAAATGGCTATAAGAATACATGTTTAAAGCAAAAAATTTAGCAGAATGCTAAAAGTGCTGACTTAAAATCTTTAGGGGTGCAAGTGTTTGCGGGTGTAACAGTTTAGGGGTGCAAGTGTTTGCGGGTGCAACAGTTTAGGGGTGCAAGTGATTAGGAGTGTAACAACACATTTTGGGGTGCAAATGCTTGGGGGTGCAAACATACATGTTTAGCAGGATGGTGAAAGTATTAAACACATCAATACTAACAGTCATGATTGAGGTAAGCTAACAATAAAGTTAAAGCAGGCTAATCATTCCTACACAATCCCACACACCTGTAAAAAAATTGCCGGTGCTGGCGTCTGACTTGCAATAGCAGGTGAAGTGTCCAGGTGGCTCGTTCCGACACAATCCTCCGTTCTGGCACAAGTTGGTGTACTGACACTCGTCGATGTCTATCTCACAGTTGACCCCAGTGTAGCCAGATAAAAGTTTGTCCCTGCAAAATGTCGGCGTGGACAGCATTGAGTAAGAGAAATGTACAGAAATTTACAATACAGGTGGGGCCAGAACAAAGGTGTTGAAAGGTGTGGCTAGACCAAAGGTGTTGAAAGGTGTGGCCAGACCAAAGGTGTTGTAAAAAATATCATGGTCCAAAGAAATGTTGTGGAACAGCATGGTCAGATGGTAGAACTGCTAAACTGAAAGTCTCGAGTTTAAATCTGAATCTCTGAGTTCACCCAGCTCTAAAGGGTACCTGACTTCATGTAAAGGAAACAAAGGCTGACCATACTATCCCCATGTGGTAATTGAAACAGATGAATTCTACTTCATCTGCTCCATGTCTTCGGCATAAATTAGAAAAGATGATGAATAGTGTTGTTAAAAAGTGATATCAAAAAGTGATGAGAGAAACTGGTCAGAATTAATGCCAAAAAAAGGAATTTTCTAAATGATGTCAGAAAGTGGTGTGAAAAATTGATGTCTAGCATAAAAGATTATGACATGATTTGATTGCAATATATGGTAAAAAAAAAAGTGTTTCAATATATAATGCCAAAAAGTAATGCAAAAACAATGCCAAACTGAATGACAAGAATAGTATTATGTAAATAACGTGCCGATGTAGATTTGTGTACAGTTACATGTATAAAGAAAGTCTTACTGTATGGAGATATGTGTAGTTACATGCATAATGAAAGTCTTACAAGATGTAGATTTGTGTACAGTTACGTGTATAATGAAAGTCTTATGTGATGTAAATTTGTGTACAGTTACAAGCATAATGAAAGTCTTACAAGATGTAGATTTGTGTACAGTTACGTGTATAATGAAAGTCTTATGTGATGTAAATTTGTGTACAGTTACATGCATAATGAAAGTCTTACGAGATGTAGATTTGTGTACAGTTACGTGTATAATGAAAGTCTTATTTGATGTAAATTTGTGTACAGTTACATGTATAATGAAATTCTTACCGTATGTAGATTTGTGTACAGTTACAGGTGTAGTTGCCGCGATCTTTTTTGCATGTCCCACCATTCAAACACGGATAGTTGGCACAATAATCAATCTCTGATTCACACATGGAGCCTGTGAACCCTGAAAAATATTGTTAAAATGTTGAGTTTAATCTATAACTTTCTAAACAAATTGAGTATACTCTATGACTTTTTAAACAAATTGAGTATTCTCTTACTTTCTAAACAAATTGAGTATACTCTTACTTTCTAAACAAATTGATTTTACTCTATGACTTTCTAAACAAATTGAGTACACTCTTACTTTCTAAACAAATTGAGTTTACTCTATGACTTTCTAAACAAACTGATACACTGAGTAAACAGCAAAAACAAAACATGGTTAACATTTTGTAAGAACTTTAAAAAATTACTTTAAACATTCATGATATCATTAAATTAATAAATGACACTTAAAAAATTTAATATATCATAAATTTTAAAACATAAATGTGATATTTCAAACAAGTATAAAAAAAGCGTAATAACTTGGGAAAAAACTAATTGTTTAATTTTTTAAAAATTTACAATATATACACCCATCAAATAATATTGTAATTACCTGGTGGACAATCACAGGTGTAGGTGTTTATCCCATCATAGCATCTCTGATAGGTCTTACAACTATTGTTCTTACAATCATCTATATCAATTTCACAGTTACTTCCCTGGAAACCAAGGGGGCAGGAGCAGTTGTAGTCATGTGATGGGACAATGGTGGAGCAGCTGCCCCCGTTTTTACAGGGGGATAGGGAGCAGGCGTTGTACTTCTGGGCGCAGTTTTTGCCTGCCCAGTCCCAGGTGCAGTTGCAGCTGTAGTCGTTGGTGCCATCAAAACACTCACCGCCATTTTGACAGGGATTAGGTTGGCAGTCGTTAATGTTAGTGCTGCAGTTGGCACCTGGGTGAGAAATGTTTTGTTTAATATGACAGCCAGATCTTTGGACGTGCTGGCTTACACAAATTGAATATTAAATTAAATAAGAGTTTTAACTTTGAACTATGCAAAGTTTAGTCATTACACATAAATAATACAACAATTTTAAAATTCTTTTACCCAAAGTAAAACTATTTTATTATACAACTAAATTGTGACTTTCATATGACTAAGTTAGCAGAAAAAGATTTTAATTCCTTAACACAATTTTAATAAATTACTTCAACTAGAAATAACCCTAATCAGACATTTTTTAATTTAAATAAATAAAATTAGAGACTTTATGCTCCTAGTATATCGATGTAAAAAAAGTTTGTAAGTAACAAAATATAACATTATAATGCATAACTCAAATTATATAATTAATGCATCTAGGCTTATAAAAATTAGTTTAAAATGTAAGATATGTTCTATAAATTGTTCTCTAATGTAGCTATTTGATGTTGTTTACCTGTAAAACCAGCCAAACATGTGCAGTTGTAAGAGAAGTTCACCACTGAACATAATCCTTGGTTGCATGGGTTAGGGTTACAATAATCTATCTTTGTTTCGCAATTTCTCCCAGTATATCCAGGACGACAGTTACACACGAAGCCATTAATCTGAAATAAACACATCAATTTTTTACCTTAACTTTATGTATTAACCACATCCTTTTTAATCCTACATTTTTTGTGAGAAACACTTCAATTTTTTACCTTAACTTTATTGTAGTAACCACATCATTTTTAATCCTACATTTTTTGTGAGAAACACTTCAATTTTTTACCTAACCTTTATTGTAGTAACCACATCCTTTTTAATCCTACATTTTTTGTGAGAAACACTTCAATTTTTTACCTAAACTTTATTGTAAAGACAGCATCATTTGTTAATCTAAACTCTTGTGAGAAACACTTCAATTTTTTACCCAAACTTTATTGTAAGAAACTTCTCAATTTTTAACCTAAACATTAAGAAATAAATCTTTAAATTTTTACCCTAAACTTAACAGTTAAAAAAACAAAAGATTATTTAGTATAAATAACTAAACAAAAATGATAAATAAAGCACATTAGTGTTAAAAAAGATTATTTAGTATAAAAATAAACAAAAATAATAAATAAAGCACGAAATATTTGATATAATTTCTAGTGTCATAAAAATTTTTTTTTTACCAAGTCCTGGCAAGTTCCAGAGTTGAAGCAGGTGACGTTAGCGCAGTCGTTGTTATTTATCTCACAGTTTCTGCCAGTCAGCCCAGGTGGACACTCACAGGTGTAGTTGTTGATGCCATCCTTGCAGCTGAAACAACAGGTCAAGCATAAGTAGGCCAGTTGTTAGAGGCCGTTACTGGGGCAGTTAATAGGGCTATTGCTTGGGTCATTGTGATGTTAAGTTTAGCTTTTGTGAGACCTAAACAGTTATACACTTGGTCAGCTGATTGGTTCTCCAATTGACAATTTACAGGGCCATGTGTAAAGGTATCATTGTCAATGTACATCTGTTCTTTAGCTAGCAACAAGATATAATTTGATAACCTTGGACTGACCAATACTGACCAGATAGACAAACCTGACCAGACAGATAAAACAGACCAGACAGACAAAACTAATCAGACAGACAATACTGACCAGATAGACAAAACTGACCAGACAGACAATACTGACCACATAGACAAAACTGACCAGACAGACAATACTGACCTTGTATTGAACTTGCAAGGACTACTCAGACAATCATTAATGTTGGTACTACAGTTGACATCGCTGTACCCCAGCTGACATGTGCAGGTGTAGCCGCCAGCGGTGTTGTTGCAGATGCTGTTGTACTTGCAGAAGTTGAGGCTGCATTCATCTATATCAACACAGTTGGGATGGTTGCCTGTCAAAGTGATGTAAACAACATTAACATTAAAAGAACTACTGGATCAGTCTGGTATGTCAATGATGTAAACATCGAAATAATATTACAGGAATATAAAATTATTTTATATGATATTCATTCCAGCAAAACCAAGGGTAAATGGAGCAGCATGACCGGATGGTAGTGCATAAAACTGCTAAGCCAAGTGTCTCCAGGGTTAATCAAAGACATGAATCAATATGACATCCCTGAGCCTACCCAGCTCTGATAAGTACCTGACTCAATTAGGGTAAGTAAACATGACTGGACATAGTGCTGGACACACTGTCCCTTCTCATAACGGCCACAGAAACAGGTTAACTCTACTTCCTCTTCTCCGAGTATGCTAGATAATATGAAGGGGAATCTTTCATTGACTTTTTAAAACCCCGCTCAGCTAAATTAATCCTACAAATAGAATAGCTTTACAATTCATTGAATAGGGCTGACTCACTATAGATTTGTGGGACATTATAGACAGGTATGTAAGTTCTAATACAAGAAATTAGGTCATTTCAAGGTAAGTTCTTACCTGAATACCCATCCTTACACACACACTGGTAGCTTCCGACCTGATCTATACACCTTGAGCCAGGTGAGAGACAAGGTGAGCTGGCGCAGTCATCAATATCAGTCTCACACTTGGGTCCAGTGTACCCCCTTACACAGGAGCAGGTGACCGTGTCGATGCCGTCATTGCAGGTGGCACCATTCAAACAGGAGTCAGATCTACAGTCATTGAAGTTCTGCAGAAAACAGCAATGGAGTCATGGTTACATTTATTCAATATACAAGGCCTGATTACAAAATTAACAGTGATGGGAACATTGTTTAAATTTAGAATCAAATACTTAATCTATAGAAAACTATATTGCAAGGCGGCTGACTGCAAAAGCAATATAACTGATAACATAACTAACAACATTAAGACTGACTACATTAAGACTTACATGAGGACTGACTACATTAGGACTGACTACATTAGGACTGACTACATTAGTATGACTACATTAGTATGACTACATTAGTATGACTACATTAGGACTGACTACATTAGGACTGACTACATTAGGACTGACTACATTAGTATGACTACATTAGGACTGACTACATTAGGACTGACTACATTAGGACTGACTACATTAGTATGACTACATTAGGACTGACTACATTAGGACTGACTACATTAGGACTGACTACATTAGTATGACTACATTAGGACTGACTACATTAGGACTGACTACATTAGGACTGACTACATTAGGACTGACTACATTAGTATGACTACATTAGGACTGACTACATTAGTATGACTACATTAGGACAGACTTCAATAGGAGTGACTACATTATGAAAGACTATATCATGAATGACTACATTACTAATGACTTTAGGACTGACTAAATTAGGTAAATGAACATCTCAAATTAAGCTTTTGCATGCTCAAGTAGCTTTCTATTTAAAATTGTAAATGGCATAAAACAGAAATTTGACATTCTCAAACTTAATATAGAATTTTTAAAATAGAAGAAATTCTTGAAACCCCCACTCCTCATTACTATATTTTGTCCTTGCCATGACTGACAAATAAATAGCTGACATAAAGACTGACAAGAGAGTGGACTATGTTGTGACTCACCTTACATGGGACACCTGTGAAACCTACAGGACACTCACACTGAAAGCCCCCAGGGTAGTTGGAGCACCTGTAGCCCTCGCCACATAATGAAGTATTAGTGCACTCGTTGACATCATCTGTACAGTTCATGCCAGTAAAACCTGCAGTCAAAATTTTTACAGTTGGTACAGAGATAGGGATGACATGATAATCAGCATGCTGGTGGGCATGTTGGTCAGCACAGTCAGCATGTTGGTCAACACAGTCATGTTGGTCAACACAGTCATGTTGGTCAACACAGTCATGTTGGTCAACACAGTCATGTTGGTCAGCAGGTTGGTCAGCATGTTGGTCAACACAGTCATGTTGGTCAACACAGTCATGTTGGTCAACACAGTCATGTTGGTCAACACAGTCATGTTGGTCAACTTGCTGGTCAGCACAGTCAGCATGTTGGTCAACACAGTCATGTTGGTCAACACAGTCATGTTGGTCAGCATGTTGGTCAGCACAGTCATGTTGGTCAGCATGTTGGTCAGCACAGTCATGTTGGTCAGCACAGTCATGTTGGTCAGCATGTTGGTCAGCACAGTCATGTTGGTCAGCATGTTGGTCAGCACAGTCATGTTGGTCAGCATGTTGGTCAGCACAGTCATGTTGGTCAGCATGTTGGTCAGCACAGTCATGTTAGTCAGCACAGTCATGTTGGTCAACTTGCTGGTCAGCACAGTATGTTGGTCAGCACAGTCATGTTGGTCAGCATGTTGGTCAGCACAGTCAACTTGTTGGTCAGCACAGTCATGTTGGTCAACTTGTTGGTCAGCACAGTCATGTTGGTAAGCATGTTGGTCATCTTGGTGGTCAGCACAGTCATGTTGGTAAGCATGTTGGTCATCTTGTTGGTCAGCACAGTCATGTTGGTCAACTTGGTCAGCACAGTCAACTTGTTGGTCAGCAGTCAACTTGTTGGTCAGCACAGTCATGTTGGTCAACTTGTTGGTCAGCACAGTCATGTTGGTAAGCATGTTGGTCAGCACAGTCATGTTGGTCAACTTGTTGGTCAGCAGTCAACTTGTTGGTCAGCACAGTCATGTTGGTCAACTTCTTGGTCAGCACAGTCATGTTGGTCAACTTGTTGGTCAGCACAGTCATGTTGGTCAACTTCTTGGTCAGCACAGTCATGTTGGTCAGCAAAGTCATGTTGGTCAACTTGCTGGTCAGCACAGTCAACATGTTGGTAAGCCTGTTTGTCAGCACAGACATGTTGGCCAGTATGTTAGTCAGCACACAAAAATTGGTCATTAGCATGTTGGTCAGCACAGTGAATATGTTAGTCAGCCCACACAAAATATTGGTCATCCTATTGGTCAGCATGTTGGTCAGCACAGTGAATATGTTAGTCAGCACACACAAAATATTGGTCATCCTATTGGTCAGCATGTTGGTCAGCACAGTAAATATGTTAGTCAGCACACACAAAATATTGGTCATCCTATTGGTCAGCATGTTGGTCAGCACAGTGAATATGTTAGTCAGCACACACAAAATATTGGTCATCCTATTGGTCAGCATGTTGGTCAGCACAGTAAATATGTTAGTCAGCACACACAAAATATTGGTCATCCTATTGGTCAGCATGTTGGTCAGCACAGTGAATATGTTAGTCAGCACACACAAAATATTGGTCATCCTATTGGTCAGCATGTTGGTCAGCACAGTGAATATGTTAGTCAGCACACACAAAATATTGGTCATCCTATTGGTCAGCATGTTGGTCAGCACAGTGAATATGTTAGTCAGCACACACAAAATATTGGTCATCCTATTGGTCAGCATGTTGGTCAGCACAGTGAATATGTTAGTCAGCACACACAAAATATTGGTCATCCTATTGGTCAGCATGTTGGTCAGCACAGTAAATATGTTAGTCAGCACACACAAAATATTGGTCATCCTATTGGTCAGCATGTTGGTCAGCACAGTGAATATGTTAGTCAGCACACACAAAATATTGGTCATCCTATTGGTCAGCATGTTGGTCAGCACAGTGAATATGTTAGTCAGCACACACAAAATATTGGTCATCCTATTGGTCAGCATGTTGGTCAGCACAGTGAATATGTTAGTCAGCACACACAAAATATTGGTCATCCTATTGGTCAGCATGTTGGTCAGCAAAGTGAATATGTTAGCACACACACAAAATGTTGGTCAGCATTTTGGTCAGCACAATCAGCATGTTGATAGCCACAAGTCAGCTTCAACCAGACCAGACAGAAACCTCAGCCTACCGTACATATTTCTTCCTAAATATTTCCCAACAACCATCACATATAAATAACAGATTTGATGAGTACACCAGGATCCTGCTAATAAAAACCCTGCTCTCACAGTATCTACTAAGCAGCAAATATCTACTCTCATATGCTGACTTAATAAAAAAAATTATCTACAGTGACTATACATAAATCAGTAAATAAACTTAAAAGTGTGAGCAAACCAACTAGAAAGAGCCTTTTATATTTTAACATGTAAGCACTTATAGCACCCTATTTTTATCAGTGATCCCTAAAAGCGCCCTGCTATATTCAAGCCTCTCATCACAAAAACACACCCTGATATGTTTTAACTGAAATTACTAAAAATCACCCTCCAATGGTTATGCCTGTGATTACTAAAATTGACCAAAGCTTAAATCAGGGACCACTAAAAGCACCATGCTCTAGTCACTAAAAGCGCCATGTAATGTTTTTAAGCTGTCATCACTAAAAGCACCTGCCATATTAACCTGATCACTAAAAGCACCTGCCGTACTACCCTGATCACTAAAAGCACCTGCCGTACTACCCTGATCACTAAAAGCACCCTGCCGTGTTTTTACCTGTGCCTGTGCAGTTACAGTGATACGCGTTGATACCAGGGGTGCAGACTCCCGTGTTCCTACAAGGTGCAGTGCGACAAAGGTCAATCATTGTGTCGCAGGTGACACCAGTGTAACCTTGACACAGATACAAATCTACTAGAACAACATCAAAGCAAGCCAGGCAGAAAGCTAACTAACAATGACACAATCAACAAACTTTCCAACAACAGAAAACTAAAAAATGCTACACAACTAACAGAAAGCTAACTAACAATGACACAATCAACAATCTTTGCAAGAACAGAAGCTTAGTAGATACACAACACAATCAATAATCTTTGCCACAACAACAAAAACATATCAAAATGTCAGCAGGAACTTTTCAAGACAACCACTTAACTAATGTCACTACACCAACACTGCTAACTCCTTGCTCTGACCTTAATCATGACTACAGTTCTAACCCTGACTCTAACCCTAGTACTAACATGTACGTTTAGATATAAAATATATCTCAATACCTTTCTGTCCTGCTGGCATTTTAAAAAGAACATCAAACCTTTCCCTCTTCTTACAATTCAATAAATTTCTTAAACTATTTGAAGGAGTAACAAGAAATGGATGTTAATTAATATTAATGATGTACTGCGTTTTCCTACCTCTTAACAGTTTTATTTCTTACACAAAGTTTAAGGAAAGTTTTGAGTTCTTTTTTATTTCATTAAAAAAAAAAGTTAAAATTTGATAGACCATAAAACACAGAGAGCAGGTAATTTTTTTGTGGTAAAATGAGAATTGGTTGACTAAATCTAACAAGAAGCATGCAGGTATCCACAACATACTAATTAAACACATTGGGTACCACACCAGATGTGTTACTAAATACCTAGATGGTGGTTTATAAAAACATTTTTAAGGGAATCTAGATATATAAACAAAATTAGAAGCATTATAAATCACATACAGAAACAAACAATCCAAAAATTGATTCAGAGGTCCCAGATTTTGAAAAAATCAATATGTTTAGACATTTATTACCAGTTTTTTGTTGTTTTTGTGTGTAGTAAACCCCTTAGGTCTATACATTAATATCTAAATTGTTTCTTTTAGTTTGATTTACTTTCACTTTTTCCAAAGGCTTTTAGTTTCATTTTTTATCCATTACACTTCTGTGATTTTTTATCTTTAGCAATTTTAAATCTACCTAAGCTACATGAACTTGGTCTGAGCTATAATTAATTAAAATATAGCAATTAATTGATTACTTTAGTGACCCAGGGTGAAATAATGTTTATTATAGTATTGAGGTACTATTGAACATGAGGCAAGGGGACACTTGCTCAACAGAGGTCCACTGACCACTTGTTATACCTTTCCAGTGAATCACCTGAAACCAACTCACACAGAAAAGTTCAAAACTTGAAAGCAGTGATTCTCACTTTAACCTAACTTGGGGTCATTTATATTTAATTTTTTATTATTCATCAAAGGTGTCAGTTACTGTTTTCTTCAAAACATTTGCTCTGAGGTGTAGCAACTCAAGGTGTCACAAACCAGAGGTGTCACAAGCTAAAGGTGTCACAGCAAAAAGGTGCTCCAACTCAGGTGTCAAATGTCTTAATTGTGACAAGCTAGAGGTGTCACAAATCTGAAGTATCACAGCTAAGATGTGTCACAACTCAGATGTCACAACTCAAATGTCACAACTCAGAAGTGTGACAACCCACAAAGTGATTAAGACTCACAGCAAACATGCATTAACTAATCACAAAATATTTTATAACTAACAAACATGTTTACAGGAAACCATTTTTAAGCATAGAATTCTTACAGGCATAAACCCAACAAAAAGTACTCTAGTCTACACAAAACTAAAACTAATTTTACATCTAAGCTCTTGTAAGCAATCATTGTTGGTGAATAGAAAAATGTGCAATGGAAAACTGTGCACCACAATGTTATGCAAAAGAATTATTTTTTAGAATTGATTCTCTATTGATATCATCAAAGAATGGCCACATGTACCTTGTAGCATTAAAAACCATTGTTATATATTAAAAAAATGAAAATGTATTAGTAAAATTTGTGTGCATTTACACATTTATTTTCTTTAACATTTTGTGTGTGTGTGTAGTTTCCATTGCGCATTTTTGTAGGAACCAAAATTGTCACAAACACACACAGCACACAACACTACACACAAGCCCTTGTAAGCCAATGATAGGACACACAACACACTAAAGCTAAAACTACACCCAAGACTGTAAAAAAGAAGATCACCAAACCTGGAACACAGTGGCAGTTGAACAGGTTATCACCCAGACTTTCACAGGTCCCTCCATTCAGGCAGGGCTCAACCTTACAGCCATACAGATCTGGAAGTTGAGCTACATTTTAATGCTAGAGTGGACACTGGTCAGGGGATGTATGTTATTGTAATCTGCCATTGAGATGGTCACATGATTCCCTCACATGAAATTTATATAGAGCGATCTTTTTTATCTGTGCTACTGTTAAGGCCAGGGTTGGGATTAAGGTTTGGGGTAGGGTCAGGGTTGGGTTGGGGTAAGGTTTAGTAGTAAAGTCAAGATAAGGGTTATGGGTAGGGTCTAGGTTGGGATGAGGGTTAGGACTAAAGCTATTATACATGTTCAAATTAGGGCTATGGTCGGGGTTAGGATTAGGGTTAGGGCAGTGCATAGATTGGGATAAGGGTTAGGGCTAGTGTTAAGACCCGCATTAGGATGAGGATTAGGGTTAAGGCCGTGATGAAATGGGAGGTAAGAATTAGATTTTGGGTAATGACTGGGGTTTGGGCTAGTACAAGATGTTTATGCCATGATGTAATGGTAGGTCAGAATTAGAGTTTGGGTAATGACTGGGGTTAGGGTTAGTACAAGATCTAGGGTTTAGGCCATGAGGAAATGGTAGGTCAGAATTAGAGTTTGGGTAATGACTGGGGTTAGGGTTAATACAAGATCTAGGGTTAAAGTCTATGGCCATGGTAAGGGAAGTAATACTAGGAGAAAGTACATAACTTCCAGATGCTTTGCCAGAGCACTGTGAATTCTGTGTCTAGCAACAGGTACACCGGTTGGATTGCCTGTGTGATAAGCCAATACAACTTTGGAACCCAAAAATTGTTTACTTGGGCTGAATCTTATTACAATCTATTTTCTGACTGCTATCTCACTTTAGTTGTCATTTTCAAAGGGAAGGAATCATGCATTAAGACCATCTCCATGGCAACAGTGTTTTGTTATACAATTTCCAAGTGAAAATTTTATATTCTACGATTATGAATAATAAATTGATTTGTATACAAGACATTCAAACTTACATCAAGATGTCTTGTTTATGTGTAGTGTGTTAACACACCTCAGGACATCAAAATTATTGGACTAAAATATTAATCTGGTCATTGCTTGATTTTAAAAATGCAAGGTTCAGGTAATGTGTTTAATGGAGAAAATATTATTTTAATAATCATGATGATTTTTTTACAATATTTTTAATAAAATTTGTCTTTTTTAAATTGAATAAATAAAACTAAGGATGTAATGACTGTGGTGCTAATAGGGGTAGATAACCCAGGCATCTCAATATGGTGGGGAGGGATCATTAGGGTAGCTAATAAGGGTAGATAACCCAGGCATCTCAATATGGTGGGGAGGTATCATAAGAGTAGCTAATAGGAGTAGATAACTCAGGCACCTCAACATGGTGGGAAGGGATCATTAGGGGTAGCTAATAGGGGTAGATAACCCAGGCATCTCAATATGGTGGGAAGGGATCAATAGGGTAGAAACTAAAGCCAAGTAAGTGTTGTAAATTGTAAGAGTTATCCCAGATTTAAGTCAATGGAGGTAAAAGCCACCTAGCCCTGACTACAGAATGAATTTTCTTCTGATGACAAATTACAACAGGTTAACTCTAATACATATTCTCATAATTTATTTTCTTTTGATAACATAAAAAAAAACTCTACTTCTTCTAACCATAATCAATCTTTTGATAACATACAATACAAATGAACTCTACTTCCCCTACTTAAACAGACCATCAAGCCTGCAAGGGTACTTAGCTCTTCACCAAACCTGTATGCACCACACAACACAAGAGGAAAAAAATGACATACTGGCTAGGTTATTCTGGCAGTTGGTCCCGTTAAAGTTGGGTGGACACAGGCAGGTGTAGTTGCTACCTGAGCTGGTGCAGGTGGCGCCGTTCTGACAGGGGACTATATAGCAGCCATCTACAGGTGCTCCTGGAATGGGGGACAGGAAAATTTTATCAGGGTAGAACATGGGTTAGAAACATTTAATTCAAATATGAACAAAAATGATGCTGTTTAGGTACTGTAAAATATAGGTTAGACACATTAGTTTAAATATGAACAAAAATAATGCTGTAAACTATGGGATTAGACACAAGTAATTCAAATATGAACAAAATAATGCTCTTTGGATACCATCAAACAAAAACAATTAGGCCTATATATATATATATATATATATATATATATATATATATATATATATATATATATATATATATATATATATATATATATATATATATATATATATATATATATATATATATGTGACCTTCCCCGAGTCTATCCTGCCCGACAACGCCAATTGTAACGAGTTGAACCACTCATGCTACACAACATCGACTACAGTAGAAAGACTCGAAGATGCAGGTTCGCTATTGATCCTTTTATTACATGAATCAAGAAATGCTTCAATATAACACAATGAATCAACAGGAATGTTTCACAATAATAGTCTGAATCAACTGACCCCTAACAGTCCTCACTAGGCTTCATATAACTGAATCCACATGTCTATTGTCCTTCTTAACACAATATAACCAACTTGATATGTCACACAGACTGACTGATCTAAAGCGAGCGATGAAGAGGGAAGAGAACGAGTTCAGCCGTCCCCTCCTATTTATCCCTTGTATCCGTACTCGTCTTTGTACTTGTATTCCTCCGTAATCGATACTTGTACTCGATGTCTCCGACCACTAGTTGCGCAGTTCTAACGTACAGTCCGTGAAATAACATCTGCATCCTATCAATCAAAGTTGACAGGCTGTCTGAATCCCCTCGTACCGTTTCCCAAAATAGCACGCGTTGGCTTTGAGATTGTTATCAGTCCGATCCAATAAGCCACCTGCTATGTTGCATCAGACTGTAATACTGCGTCTCGGCTTATCGTTCGTTATCAGATTTGTAACTAGTGGCTAGGCCTACCCTAGTCACATCCACCCCTGCCTTTTTTTGTGTGTTTTCAACCACAAACAACGCCTGGCAGGTGCACTCCTCCAAAGTCAATCGCACAACCGTAAAAAAATTTTTATTATTCCACTCACTGTCCACGACGTCCCATTCGTATACGATTGACGGTTATACCTATTTCACATATCAACTGTGTCTACATCATCTTCCTGAGACACAAAACAGTTCTAGAATTCACATCCACCCTTTTCGTTTGGTGCCTTCACCAGTTCACTTTTATAGCTTTTTTGAACCGTCTGTTCTCATACCAGCGCGACCATGAAAGACTTGATGGTTGCTGACAAAAAATTTCGTCTTCCTTCTGTTCCTCAAACTTCTCCGCGGACCACTTATCTGATGGTCTACTGTCTCTCTGCTTCTGGAAGGAACGGGATCCTCTTTGTTGCCGTTATCCTCCACTTGTGTATCGCGGTTGTTCTGTTGATGGTGATATGGTTCCGGGATGGGTATGTGAATTTCCGTTATAGTTTCCGGTTCCCTAATTGTCTTGGATTTCCTTGTGTGTAACTGCTCTTCTTGCCTATTCCAATATTTCTTTAATTGAGCAATATTCGCCCACCGATCCGGTTTGGCGTGATCGATGGGTCTTATCTTAAAGGGGCCACCTGCTACTCTAGGCATCTCCACGACTTGCCATATCTCCTGTCCCCAGAGGTCGTGGATCTTATTTCTGCCTAACGGGTGGCTACGCAGTAATACCCTGTCATTCAGTTTGAGTGGCGGGTCCTTTGTCTGTACCGGCGGTTCCCTTCGCCGTGCTTCATGTTCTAGTCTTTCCTGTACTACCCTGTACATTTCTCTAATTCTTCTCATGTGTTCATTCACATATTCCAGTGCGGTGTATGAGCCAGTCATACTCTCCCTTTTTCCTAGGAACGAATCAAGAGGGAGTCGAGCCTCCCGTCCGAACAGCAACATGTATGGCGCAAAGCCGGTTGTGGCATGGGGTGTGCAGTTGTATAGATATACCAACTCTGGGAGAAAATCAGGCCAACGTTTTTTCTGTTCAGGTTCTAGGGTACGCAGCAAATCATGCATGCTACGGTTGAACCGTTCACACTGTCCGTTTCCTTTCGGATTAAATGTGGTTGTTCTAGATTTGTTGATCCCGTAGTGGCTGCACAGTTGGTTAATTACTTCTGACTCGAAAGCCCTTCCTTGGTCAGAGTGTAATTGTCTTGGTATGCCATATTTGATGAACCAATGTTCTATTAAGACCTTTGCCACTGTTTTGGCAGTCTGATCTCGCGTGGGCACCGCCACCGTCCATTTGGTGAATACATCAGTCATTACCAACACATGTTCCGTCCCATCCGATGATTGCTCCAACGACGTAAAGTCCATAGCCACAATCTCTAGTGGTCTTGTCGCTAGTAGGTGTCCTGATGGCTGTCTCAATTTGACAACTGGCATTTTCGCATGCTGACACCTCACACAAGCCTCACAATGGCGTTTGACCTCCATTTCCATATTGGGCCAGTAACACCTCCGTCGTAATATCTTGTGCGTCCTGTCCTGACCCTGGTGTCCTGCCCTGTCATGTGCCAACCTTAGCACTTCTTCTCGTAACTGTCCAGGCACCACCACCTGGTGTATTGTCCCATCAATTTGGTCATGAATTCTCCGCATGAGAACACCATCCTCTATACTGAGACGGTCCCACTGACTCAGTATTTTCTTTGTTTCTCGACCAAATTGTTCTCTTTCCCTTCTTCCTGGGAATTTTTGTTCCTGGACGTGTTTCAACAGCGGCTGTAAGCCACTATCCGTTCTCTGGGCATCTCTTATCTTTTTGTGATTAAGGCAATTAAAATCACTACTGTCCATATGTTCGGGCTCTGTGGATATGTGCTCCACCCCGGTCTGCCCGTTTTGCATCACTTGTACCCCATGAGGGATATCTGTTGACGCTCTGACCTCACATATTCCTGTCAGTGTTTCTTCCTCATCACCCGGTCTCTCGTAAGGATTCCTTGATAAGGCGTCCGCATTGCCATTGGACCGCCCCGGGCGATACTTTATCTCTAGGTCAAAGAGTGCCAATTCTGCTGCCCATCGCTGTTCGATGGATCCCAACTTTGCTGTCTTTAGGTGACTCAAGGGGTTATTGTCCGTGTATACCACACATTTAGCACCTAATAGATAGTCCCTGAATTTCTCAGTCACAGCCCATTTTAATGTCAAAAGTTCTAGTTTCATGGCGCTGTAATTTGTCATGTTCCTCTCTGATCCCTTCAGAGCTCGACTGGCATACGCAATAACCCTGAAACCTTGCTTTTGTTGTTGTGATAGCACAGCTCCCAGACCTTTAGAGCTGGCGTCAATTTCTAGCCGAAATGGTTTGTCAAAGTCCGCGTATCCCAATATCGGCGCCTCTGTCAAAGCCTTTTTCAATAGCTTAAACGAGTTCAGGCATTCATCAGTCCATAATTCACCTATCAGTTGTGTTTTACCTTTCTTTTTCTCCTTACTGTGTTTCTTTGTCATTTTGTTTACCAAGTCATGCAATGGTGCGGCAATTTTTGCAAAACCAGGCACAAATTTTCTATAATAGGAGGCAAAGCCCAAGAATGACCTGACCTCTACCGTAGTTGTTGGTTGTTTCCATTCTTTAACAGCTGCAATTTTATCTGGGTCAGTGGCGATGCCATCCGACGAAATCACGTAACCCAAAAAATGTACCGATTTCAAACCAAAGCAGCATTTGTCTGGGTTCAGCTTTACTCCTATCTCCCTAAGACGGAGAAACACTTGTTCTAATCTTTTTAGATGGTCCTCCCAAGTTTTTGAATAAACTAGTATATCATCCAAGTACACCAACATTATTTGAAATAGAAAGTCACTCATAGCACTCTGCATTACTCGCTGGAATGTAGCAGGTGCATTAGTTAGACCAAACGGCATACGGGTCCACTCGTACAGTCCCAGTGGAGAAATAAATGCAGTTTTATGTTGATCGTTGGGGTGCATGGCCACTTGGTGGTAGCCACTAGCCAAATCCAAGGTAGAAAAAAATCTTGCTCCCCCCAACGCATCAAGACATTCATCAATACGAGGCAAGGGGAATGCATCCCTTCTTGTGATATTGTTCAATTTCCGGTAATCACAACACAGTCTTATCTCCCCTGACTTCTTTTTTACCACTACTATCGGTGCCGCATACGGGCTCGTGCTGGTTGTAATAATTCCCTTTTTTAGTAGATCGTTCAGGTGTGCTTTCACCTCCGAGTAGTGACTCGGTGGTAATCTTCGATAAGGTTGCGCCACCGGCTTGTCTTGTAGTAAGGGTATCTGGTGTTTGATTACTTCCGTGTAACCCAAATCACCCTCGTACGAGGCAAATATATCCCTGTACTTATTCAACAATTCATTTAGTTTTGGGTCCTCAGTTTCCGGGAATGTATATGATCGGCCATCCTCTTTCTTCACCTCGGCCGTCACATTGACCGACCTAACTGTTACTTCATTACTGCTGGTATTGCTCAGTTCGATGCACTGTGCCGACCTTAGTACCTCGACGTTCTGTGGTACTCCTACCAGAGTATTAGGCGGTATAAAAATTTCCTCATCCAAAACATTTGCCACTAATCCTTGAACTAGTCCATTTTCCGCTGATGTGTATGTCCGCAGTAACACGACGCCTGCCCTCAGTGCGGCGCCACATGGTTCTATCATCACATCACCATTCACGCTTCTATCACCAATTTGTAATTTGATTGCCTTGACCGTGTTTGCCGGGACTGCTGTCCTTCCTCTGGTCTTGGCAAACCTGGCCAACTTGGATCCCCGACCTGGTGTGGTCGATCCGACAATATTTGGAAGAAATTCTGGCAACTGGCCAAGAATATTCATGCCCAACAGGCAAGGTATATTTGACACATTTGTCTCTAGGTTGTGTTTCGTAACGAACACCCCAACCTGTTTCAACCTATGTCCTGCCACCACGACATCCGCCAGAAAATAACCACAGTATGGAATGGTTAGTCCATTAGCTGCCGTCAGGCGCATGCATGTGTCAGACCTCAACCTATGGTCTTTTCCTTTCATCCATTTGGTGTAAAAATTTTCCGTGATTGTCGTCACCTGGGAGCCTGTATCCACAATTGCCTTCACCGCGATGTCCCCAATCGTAATCACCATTTCTGGACAGACTCCCATCATTTTGCTTCTTGGGCCATACCCTCGCCCCTCTGTAGCCTGGCCCTGCCTTACAGAGGACGACCGTTTCCCTGGCAGTACCGTGCCATATGTCCGGGTTGTGAACAAGACAAACAAATTGGTCGACCGTCGGCCGTCCATTGGAGTGATGGCTTGGCAGGACGCGGCCGTCCAACCCGTCCCTGTTTTGTCCCGTTCTTTTCCTGATTCTCAGCTGTTGACCTGCTTTCTAACCTCTCCAAACGTTGGTCAACCTTATCTAGGTGGGCCAACAGTTGAGCCATCATGGTCTCCATCGTGTCGGCCCCTGTGGGTGGGGGTTGTCTCTGTTCAGGCACCGAGACTTTGTCCACCGAACAGTTCGATTGGTCCTCATCCTCGGACCTGCGGATCGCTGAGTTCCTGACCTGAAGGAAGGTCAACTGCGGGTCTTTGTGGACCTCCTCTTTCAACTCTCTTCTTAGGATCGGGGTTGCCAGCCCCTCAATGAAATGGTCCCTCAGTAGGCGCACATCAATGTCAGGTGTTTTGACCTTTACCGAATCAAAGGCCCTGTTCATCCGGTGTGAGTACTCCATCACACTCTCCGCCATTCTCTGCCTTAAGCCTACGAACCCTGCCAGCAGTTGCGATCCCGACCGTCTCTCCCCAAAGGTCTCCATAATCAGATCCAGCACCTTATCCGGATCTGATTGGATGGTTTTATCGTGGCATTTGACCTCTGCCCTTACCGTCTCTCCTATACTGCCCATCAGCAGTCTTAATCTTTCCTCTGGTGACATGCCTCTCGAGGCCCAGGCCGCTTTGACCTCTTCACTGAACCTGTTGGTTAAAGTTGGATCCCCGTCCCCGTAAAATTTGTTAATGTGGGACTCTCTGGGTAGGACCACTATATGGGTCTGCTTCTCGTCCAGAGTAGACATTTTATCCCGTAAGTAAAACAAAAGAGTTCTTTCTTACCGTGTGTGTATGAAAAAATTTTCCTCAATTTTCACAGTTCCTGAATGTCCGAATTCACATACACACAAAACACAGTTATGCACAAGGTTGACTATGGGTGCCTCAACCGGCAAGTCTAGTTGAATTCATCCTGTCCGACGACGCCAATTGTAACGAGCGAACAGTTACCCTGCTCGCAGCGCCAAATGTGACCTTCCCCGAGTCTATCCTGCCCGACAACGCCAATTGTAACGAGTTGAACCACTCATGCTACACAACATCGACTACAGTAGAAAGACTCGAAGATGCAGGTTCGCTATTGATCCTTTTATTACATGAATCAAGAAATGCTTCAATATAACACAATGAATCAACAGGAATGTTTCACAATAATAGTCTGAATCAACTGACCCCTAACAGTCCTCACTAGGCTTCATATAACTGAATCCACATGTCTATTGTCCTTCTTAACACAATATAACCAACTTGATATGTCACACAGACTGACTGATCTAAAGCGAGCGATGAAGAGGGAAGAGAACGAGTTCAGCCGTCCCCTCCTATTTATCCCTTGTATCCGTACTCGTCTTTGTACTTGTATTCCTCCGTAATCGATACTTGTACTCGATGTCTCCGACCACTAGTTGCGCAGTTCTAACATACAGTCCGTGAAATAACATCTGCATCCTATCAATCAAAGTTGACAGGCTGTCTGAATCCCCTCGTACCGTTTCCCAAAATAGCACGCGTTGGCCTTGAGATTGTTATCAGTCCGATCCAATAAGCCACCTGCTATGTTGCATCAGACTGTAATACTGCGTCTCGGCTTATCGTTCGTTATCAGATTTGTAACTAGTGGCTAGGCCTACCCTAGTCACATATATATATATATATATATATATATATATATATATATATATATATATATATATATATATATATATATATATTTATATATATATATATATATAACATTGTATAAGTTTGAGCCCAAAAAATTAACTAGTCTTAACGATAAGCTAGCTGTTGTAAAAATATAACCAGTTCACCCAGTATATGCTGAGTACTAAATGTTGGCTGAGCTTGCATTGTAATAGGTACACATGTTAACACCTCTCATGCAAAAAAAACACAAATACAAAATCCAATTGTCTTCGTGTGTCTTACCAGTGGACTCATTGAACCCGCCTTGACCCTGTGTGGTAATGTTGAAATCCTCTGACCCTGGGGCAGTTGTCACCTGGGTCTGTACTAGCACAAGCAGGGGCCCCACCAGCAACAGTGGCCCCAGCAGATGCCCTATAAGTGGGCCCAACATGTCTAAGGCATTCAACTTTATTCCAATAAATCACATTAGCAAACAACACCTTATCCACTGTTTCTAAAACTTTTCAGAGTACCCAGTTGTGGGGTTTTTAAGTGACGTTCTCATGCACAACAAGTCGCCAATGTCACTGATCAACTAGGTTTTAAGTGGCGATCTCAAACACAGCAAAAGTCTTCACTGTAGCTGATTGACTATGTTTTAAGTCGCGATCTGAATCACGACAAGAGTCTTCACTGTCACTGATCAACTAGGTTATAAGTGACGATCTCAAACATAACAGAGAAGTCTTTACTGTCACCAACTTCTAAACATCAAGCATCAACTGGTGGAACCAGGAATCTGATATTAACGTAAGAAATCCTACACATCAATTGGTGAACATCAGGCATTTATCCACGTCTTCATCACAATGGCCTCACAATCTCTCCATGAAGACGCTCATAAGAAAAACTACCCGCACGCCAGTAGCCGAGTCTGCTTAAGACACCTGATCAACACTTAATTATTAAATAACAGTGTTCGATCTAACATGTTATGCTGAAGTCTCGACGCTGATAAAGTTTTCATGTTTCAAATATTAGCTAACACATGGTCCTTGCTTTTCAGGGAGGACACAAGTCTTTTTATGTAGCTTATTCTATATAACAGTGGGGGAAAAAATATACAGTGGTTAACCCATACGATCATTATAGACAAAAAACTGTATATCGAAGGCATTTAACTCATAGGCCTACGTCTCGCTAGCCGAGTACTATTATTATACTCCGCCCATTGTAAGAATTTAACTCCGCCTAGAACCAGCTATTTACTCCGCCCAGTGTTAGCAATTAACTCCACCCACAAGGCAAACTATATTAATTGACTATTAAGCTTCTCCCACTACAATGAAGGGGGAAACGGGGGATGTGAGGTACTGAATTTTATGACGTTGTGCTACTGGAGGGGTTTGGAAATCAGACAACATCGGCTACACTTTGTTTCGCTTTTTTAATTAAAATTGTTAAAAAAAATATTTTTTTTTCTGTTTAATTCGCTTTTGTAAACTATTTTACATCACCCCTAACATGACGTAAAGTTTAAACCTATACCCCCCCCCCCCCTCCCCAAAGCATTAAAACACATCGATTTCTCTTTACAATGTTTACTGAGTTTGGTCACCACTGGGTACACTGATCTATTTTATTGCAATTTACAACCACAACAAAAATGTCTTTTGGAATGCGAAGATACATGTTTAAAATCCAGTATCCAATATTACTTTATAAAACGCAACAGTGTCGTAACACTTTCTACCTCCTCTTTCAATTACCCTCGTCACACATGGTCCCCCAAAGTCCACACCCACCATCCCCTCACCCTAGGAGTATGACGTTATTTATTGTCTACCCCCATATCCGAGCGCGCTTTTAATCAATAGTATTCGCGTACAAATACAGGAAAGAAAGAAAAAAAAATCACGCACTGAGTACTTACTCAAAGATCAATATGATCGTTAACATGCAGTGCAAATCAGTGTTGCTCGGATCTGTATGTAAGCTTCATAATTAAATCAAGCTGTGCTACTAATTACCGCAGACGTTTTAATACTTTTTAAACACAGCGCAACGCTTGCATCCCTGGGATCAAACCTAACAGTTGAAGGTTTAAATCAGATTGTCGCTATACGATCATTTTTGCTTTAAGTTCAAAGTAACAATATGTCTAAAATGGTCGGTGAAGTACTTGGTTGTTAAACCAAGAAGTCTCGAGTTCGAACCCCCGGGCAGATGAGACTCGATAGCTGGGGACATCAGCTCTTCTAGGAAAGAAAACTCCAAAATAAAATAACTGCTGCCTTGTAGTTTGTTCTTGGTCGAACAAAGGCTATGGAAACAAATCCAAAAAGAAAAGTAGGCTGAAATTGGAGCCAACGGTCAATAATCATATGGCGCATAACAAATTGACACGTAATATATTGGGATGGGGGGGGGGGGGCATTGTTCCAACATTAAGAACCAAGAAGAAGGTAGAACTCTAAATAAAATGCTTGTTTAGATATAAGTTTTCGAAGGATGCATGTTATACCAGTGTCAGATAAAAGATTAACACTAATGTAAATTAACTAAATAATATAACTTGACAATGTCAATGCAACGCTGACACCGCGTTTACACTTGCGACATGTATACTGTACAAGTTTAGAGAAAAAAGTTGCAGCAAGTAAGTCTTAGTATGTACCGCGAGAAAAACATTTTCAAAAAACATTAAATTGTTGCGAGTTGTTTTCTAGACATGTATAATATACATGTCGCAAGTGTAATCGCGGTGTAAAACTAAGCTCCAAACCACGTCCAACCCAACCCTACCACTTAACTAGATACTCCAATAAGACTAACAACTTAATACCTTATTTTTTAAAGGGTCTATTGTCTGGCACTTTTTGCACCAGTACACTAATTTTTAACTAAATTAATTTCTAAGCATTTATCACTTTTCGGCCAATGTATAAGAACACTATTGTCGGCAATACGACCCCCCCCCCCCCCCCCCCCCCCCAATTAACCGCCCAGTATCCCATGATGCTTAGAACAAGGCCGCCAGCTACGATCCCACCCAATCAGCGCCGAGCTGAGCGCGAGACAAAGAACAATGGCGTGTTTGTGAGAACTAATCAGAGACGTGACCGGCAAACAACGGCAAGCCGGAACTGTTGTTTGGTCAGAATTAGCCGAGTTGACTTGAAAGCCGGCGCGTCACAAACTTGTCATACGCCACCGTGCGGCCAGGTAGTCAGGCCCGTGGAACAACTGAGGGAGGGGGTGGGGCGGCGGCGAGGATAAAAAGTATCACATGCCCACAAAACATGCAATAAAGCGAAACTTGAAATGTGCACACGAAAAAACACACAACCCTGTTGGCAAACGCAAAAAAAAAAAAGCGCGAAGAATTGAAGCAATTGAGCTGTGATTTGCAAACAAGTAGGCCTATAAGGCAGTGTAAGGCCAGTGTAAGGGCCTATTTCAATAGCAGAATTTGACAGCAAGTAGGATTTATAGCATGTAGAGTTTACGGCGGCTGAAATAATACAGCAAACAGTAGAGCCAGTAGAATTTACAACAAGTGTGATTCGACTCATCGACTGCAAGTAGAATTTTAAGCAAGTAGAATCAAGTGCAGGCAGAGTCGGTAGCACAGGAGTAAAAATACAATGGGGGGGGGGGGGGGGAAGTCGCAATAGGACAACGGCAAAAATTAAATTTCGCTAAAAATATAATTTAAATTTATAAAAAATTAATTTCAATTAATAAAAATTTAGTTTCAATTAATAAAAATTAAATTTAAATAAAAATTTCAATTTCAATTAATAAAAAAAGTATTTTTAATTAACAAAAATTAAATTTCAATGAATATTGTTAAACCCCATAAATAATCCCACTGTGCTTTGAATACGTTTTAAAAGTTAAATCCCTATTACCAGTGGGTATGGTGGGATTGACTGGTCTACGACAGAGTTCAGCATCCTTTGAGCTGACACCGTCCATTTTTCATTAGTAATGAATCGTTTACTTTACTAATGAGAAAGTTCAAGTATTGTTACACTTTCAGACCTAACCACCAATGGGGCAGACGGGGTCGAGTTCCATATGTCTCTTGACGTCGGAATATGAAGGGATAAGCATCCGCCTTTACTTTTCTATAACGTTGAGTCCGGAACGAGATCCGAACTTGAGACTTTCGGGCTAGCAGTCGAGCGTACTACACCCGACCACGACGTCTCTCACTAGAGTCAGAAGAAAATGGATCACTTACGACTAATATTAAACTGAAGTCGACT